AAGGCCATTGGACGGATTTCTTTAGTTGGGGATGTTTTCTTGTCCCTTCCATGAGAGAATAGAGGCGATTTCCATGCATGGTTCTCAGCATTGTTAGTCGGTGGACTCTGGGCAGGGCTCCAACGCTCTGCAGCGAAGAAATGCAGAAGACAGTTACTGCAGAGTGAAATATCGCAGAGATGAGATCACGGTGATCCCTGTCCTCGTAGAAGGAGTCACAGTCCGTCCCATCAAAGCTCTCGATCCTTGCAACAATGTCCTCTGCAACTGCATTCGCTGTTGACTTGTCCATCGACTTCTTTGAGACCTCAGCTCTTAGATGGTTAATTCGCGAAATTTCCAAGAATAGCGGCATCGGACAAGGAATGTGTGGATGCAATCCGAGTGGATATATCTCCTGGATCAAATTAATGAACTCTTGTTGATCACAAATTGTAACTTGGTTGTCAGGTGGACTCGTTGTATTCGCCGAAGTCATCACACTGTGTCAATCTCGAGGTCAGCATCAATGCTTTGATTTACCCACAGGATCTAGACTTACATCATAAAAGACAGGAGCAAGGCTTGGCGGTATGGCTCCGACATGGCCCATCCCCGGGCACCGCCTCGACATGCGAGAATAGCCAGGAGACCGTCTACATGCTGTCGCCACTGAGGAGTTATGCATGCGTTGATCTGTTGGTGTTGGGTCAGCAATCATTGTAGACAAGAAGCATCACTGTTGACTTCGACTGACCTCGGACTGGAGAAGGAGGATGACCCCTGTCAATACAACATCGCTACTCTGCGTCTTCGGATTGGCGAGGTCTTCGTTGATGGCCCGTATCGACAGGCCTCGATGATGGTGCATCCGGTGTTGGGCATACAATATAGAAGGACAATCATTCTTCCATTCTTTCTGCACATGCATGCGATGATGGTATACGATGCCAACCAAGTTGTGCGCAATCGAGATCGGCAGATATTTCACGACCTTGAGGGGAATTTCGGCGATGAACACGTTGCTGGTTGGCGGATGGCCTGACTTAGTGTATGGGTAGAACACGTCGTTGACTGGATAATTGTGATGTTAGAGAATTTCGGTAAATCTGGGTAACAGCTGAATCTGTTTTCAAGTTCTGTGGGTTGCAACTCACAATATTGTACGGCTTCAAATACATCGCAAATGTCTGTCCTCAGAGCTGAATGAAAGACGAGCTCTCCGCCATACTTGTTCCTGCTTCTAGTCAAGGCTTCGGTGTCTTCAATCTCCCCTCGGCTATCTAGCTTTGGCTTTTTTTTCATGGTCTTCTTCGTCGCTGTGTCTTTGTCTGCCACGCGCCCTTTGCGTCGAGTACGACAGGTGATTTTCCCAGGTGCGAGCCAAGTCAGTGGCTTTCTGTCGTCGTAGCCAGGGCAAACGATGCCGGAAGCACGACACTTGTTACAGACTGGCTTGACAGAGTCGCAAACAAGTCGACGACGTTGGCACTCCCAGCAACGTCGTTTCCCTGGAATCTCCGGGGATAATGATGGCTGAGGCGCCGGTAACATTGTGTTGCGAGGCGTGGATCAGGTCCCAAAAGGTGCAGTTCAGCCCTACCCGAGTGACAGGTTAATATGCACCAGCGTTACCAGATTGAGTAAGAAGAAGTCGATGGGACGAAGGGGTCGAGGGTTTGATTGCGGAGGGGGCTCTCAACTCAGGCCACATCCGCATAGGCTTGGATATCTTAAGTATCCTATGCTCCGGGTGCGCGGGTTGCCTTGCTTGAGCCCCAGTGTAGAACACCAAGTAAGACGATTCGCTTGGCAAAAGGTCTTGGCCAGAGTATTTTCCTATTTGGGTCAAGACTGCCATGCTGTGCTTCGCCTTGGGGGCAACAGGTACAACCGCTGATCAACATCCCCTCAGCCCTAGCGGACTCAACGTTGTAACCAATGCGGGAGGGATGATAGACATGTGGGGGCTTATGGTATCGCAAACCGACAAATCACTGAGCATCACGGGCGCCTGCTTATGTCTCAAGGATGATATCATTGTCTTTCTCCGCCCTAGAGTCGGCCCGCCGGCGGGTTAGTTAGGCAGAAGCAATCCGCAGACCTACTGCATCGGTTCTCGTGGCGGAAGCGGGTTGTACTAGAGGGAAGAAAAGGACCCCTGTTCTCAGCTTGCTGCTCCCACTCTCAACCCAAGCAATGGGCGGATACTCTTGAATATGGCCAATTGACCTCGGTCGAGCTAAACACTAGTGAGCTCTTCATATGATCTGAAAACACTTCGCCACACATGAATCAAATAAGCCCAGACAGCAAGTGTCGAAATGCACTGAAAGTTAGCCCTGGTACTCAAGGGGGGATGGCAAGATCAACATGATAAGTACCCGCGCGCCATGTAAACTGCGCCTAACGCCGGCCGTCCCGGGTTTCGTCCCGGGACTTTCACACCTCGACAACGCCTAGTTATGGAAGATGAGGAATTGGATCGAAGATGGTTTGCCTGCAAGCCACTCTCAAAGCGTGGCCACGACTATGCTTACCTTGGCGGTTGTGAGCTACGCGATTGTCAGCGAATGGCTCTCTTAGCACCGCGCGAGAGTGGGCCGCCAATGGCGGCAATTAAATGACATCGCTTAATGGGTTCGAGATGTTTCCCCCAAGGTCTTGAGCGTGGACATGGGTAGTATGCCATTGAGGTGATTGCTCTGAGTTCTGAATCTGGTTGAACTGGCAGAGGTGAAAATGACTGACGGACGCTTTTTCAATCCACATCGTCTCGATTTCTTTACGAAAGTAAAAAGGGCAGGCAGCAATTCCTCGGTCGCGTGGACGAGCTTGAGAGCTGAACGTCAACCCAAAAGCAGTCTCACTTGGTTTCGGTTTGATAACCCGTGTATCTATCACTGATAGCCAATTAGCTCCTCCTCCTTCGAATGATTGGTATTTGCTGGGAATTAAATTGGTTTGCTTTACCTATCAAGCAAGCCTCTCTGGAGCAAAAATTAAGAAACTGGGCAAGTCTCCGCGATGCTCTGCGGGGTATCACGCGAACGCGGGGCATTGTAGGTGACAAGAGCTCCATTGCCATTTTGTTAAATAGCATCAACCACAGTTGATTTTGATCTGAGATGGTCAGAAACCTCATTCTTCTGTTATTCATCTCAACTCATCATTTCTTGGTCATCTAATATCACCTCAAGCGCAAGCTCCACGGCACCACCTGAAGTACAAACTTAGCCAACAATCACTTCAACCTTGTTCGACACAGAAGGATGAGCGCCGGTCGTGTTATCAACGTGGTCGGATGCCACGCGGAGGGTGAAGTTGGCGATGTAATCACCGGCGGTGTTCTAGATGTGCCGGCCCCGAGCATGTGGCACAAACTACAACACTTTTTGACGCATAAAGACGAGCTGCGTCAGCTACTACTGAATGAGCCGAGGGGAAGATCGCCAAAGAATACGAACTTGATCCTCCCGCCCTGCAACCCCGAAGCCGCTGCAGGATTCCTGATTATGGAAAGTGAAGAATATGCGCCAATGTCCGGATCCAACACCATTTGCACGGCTACGGTACTCTTGCAGACAGGGATGATCCCCATGCAAGAGCCAATCACCAAGTTCGCTCTAGATACGGCGGCTGGTCTTGTCGGCGTGACTGCGGAGTGCCAAGGTGGTAAATGCAAATCCGTGGCTTTTGAAAATGTGCCTGCGTTCGTGGACCGGTTCGATCTGCAGGTTGACGTCCCGGGGATCGGGACCGTCTCCGCCGACATTGTCTGGGGCGGAATGTGGTACGCTATCGTGGATGCGGCATCTGTCGGGATGACCATCGAGCCGAGCAAGGGCGCGAAGCTTGTGGAGCTTGGCGAAAGGATCAAGTCAGCATTGAAAGCTGCCTACACGCCTCATCATCCGGAGAATCCAGAAATCATGGGCATCTCGGTTCTCGAATTCACAGAGCCGCTTCACCAAGATATCATTGGAAAGGTCGCCAAGAATACTGTAGTTGTGTCTCCCGGGCGTCTTGATCGCAGCCCTTGTGGCACCGGCACCAGTGCGCGGATGGCTCTGCTGCATGCCAAGGGCCAGCTGGCGGTTGGAGAATATTTCAAGCACACTAGCGTCATTGACACAGCCTTCGAGTGCCGCATCTCTCGGACTGTCAAAGTCGGAGATATTGATGCTGTGGTACCAATCATCAAGGGCAGAGCATGGATCACTAGCTACAAGCAGGTCGTCTTGGATCCAGAGGACCCCTTTCCTACCGGATTCAGAGTGGGGGACCAATGGCATGTCCCTGATATCGAGTCCTAGTCAGCGCCGAGGCACTGAGGCGGAAACATTCATATGTTGGGAGTTAGCCATAGACAGAGAAATAAAGGACCGCCTGCCGTACTTGGCCGGAATACCATGTTGGAACCCTGGGTCTTCGTGCCCCGTATGTGTTGTTGGCTTCCAGTTCCGGCCCCACCCCCGGTGGGATACAGTCACTCAATAATCGTAGTGGAAGAGGTCGATACTGAGAGGTCGTAGCCCGAGACTGTCGACTAGTCTGTGGATTCATGAACAAGAAATAGTCAAGAGACGATATGAGCTACGTTGATTTTGTACTAGTTCATCGCGCCGTGGTCTCTTCAAAAGCTTGAGATCCCGAACCGAATGACGCTTTGTTTCCCAGCCGAACCGAAGAGAAATTGCGGGGGAATTGAGACTACCTCGCACCCCAATCCCCCACTCCGGGGAACGGGGTGGCCCATGTCTACCCCGGATTTCCATTCGGGTCAACATCTTCAACGATGGTCAAGATATTGAAATAACAAGGCTGTCAGCCGCGATGTATTCACAGGAATCATGTCGTCCATCCCCAATCATCACCATCAAGACAACATTGGGTGCATCAAATTTCCCTGCAGTTGCGACGGTTGCTCGCAGTCGTGACCCGCAGGCGTCCTCTTCTTCACCAACACCTCAGATCACCTAAACAATCTTCAACGCACTTGAACTCCATCGGCCTTCAAGATGTCTTCATCTCTGGCTCCCGGAAGCAGTGGCGACGCGAAGCAGAACAGCCAAATCGAACATCTCGAAGACCTCAGCAAGCCGGGCTTGCGAGACAAACACGATGGCCATGTCGAAGGCAACGCACTTCTCATCAACCGAGATGGAGAGGTTCGCAGGATTCCAGTTCCGTCTTCGGATCTCAACGATCCCCTCCGCTTCAGACCTTGGGAGAAGTACGGCATTGTCTTCTGCTGCTGCTGGTTCTCTAGTATGGGTTTGTCGATCGCAAGTGGTCTCGGTGCAATTTTGCATGAATTCTTTGCGATGTATGGCCCTCAAGGCTATTCTTCCGAAGACATCGTTCTTCTGATTACTATTCCAACCTTGTGCATTGGTCTCGGTAAGATCCATCTTGACTCAAAAAGCTGCCGTTAAAGGTTGATTAGTGAACTAACGAAGGCATCACGATTAGGCAACTACATCATCCTTCCTCTTGCTCTGGCATACGGTCGACGCCCAGTATTCTTAGGATTCATGGTCATCCTTCTGATAGCGACAATTGCTGCCGCTTTGCAAAATAGCTATAACGGGCATCTTGCTGCCCGAGTGGTTCAAGGCTTGGCTACGGGTGCCTCAGAGTCTCTTCTCCCGCTGATGCTCACTGAAGTTACCTTTCTTCACGAGCGTTCCAAAATCTTTGGTCTTTACTGGATGGCACAAAATGCGATATCCTCTACTATCAACTTGACCTCGTCATATTTGAACCATGACCTGGGATGGCGTTGGTATTACTGGGTCTTCGTTATCACCGTTGCCGTCGGACTGGTCATTGCGTTCTTTTTCGCCTTCGAAACACAGTTCACCCGTCAACCCGAGTCGCTCGATGGACAAGTCGTCATCACGGACGAGTTTGGTGTCACGCGTGTCATTCCAGACTCCGAAGCCCAGGCCTACCTCGAGGAGATGAATCGGTCTGGACTCACGGCTCCGGGCGCCGATCAGGCGGCCGAGTCTCTGGAGAGAAAGTCGTATCTACAGCGCATCAGACCTTGGTCGACACCGCATCCCCAACCAATGCGAGTAATGGTCTTGAGTTGGAAGCACATGGCGGAATCATTCTCGTCTCCGGGAATCATTTATGCGGTGTTGACATCTTCCATTGCTCTTGGCTGCGGTGTTGGCATGTCACTGACCTACAACACTGTTCTGGTGACGAACTATCAGTGGAAGTCGGAAGATGTTGGGTTGATTAATGTTGGCGGCGTCATTGGCGCCGTTCTCGGCATGTTGTTCTGCACATTCGTCGGCAATCCATTGGTCATGTACCTCGCCCGTCGGAATCGAGGCGTTCACATCCCGGAACACCACCTGGTCGTCTTGGCTTTACCTGCCGTCATCGGTGTGGGAATGCTATTACTGTATGGCTACACCGCGTCAGGAGGGTACACATGGTGGGGTCCGTACATCGGCTGGACCATCTTCCAGTATTCCTTTACCTCTGTTCTTATCATTTCCACTAGCTTCGCATCTGAAGCCGCGCCCAAACATCCCGGGCCGGCACTGGTCGTGGTTGTGGGAACTAAGAACGTGGTCTCGTTTGGTGTGACCTATGGGTTGACTCCAATGGTTGAGAAATGGGGATATCAAACTGCCTTTGGTGTGTTGGCTGGTATCTTTGGCTTCATCTTCCTACTCGGAGTGCCTGTCTATCTTCTCAATCCGAGGTGGCGTGCTTACATGTCAGAAAGAGAGAGCAGATCGACCAGAGCCTAGAAATAGGTCGTCACTTACCATTATCCATGACTTTGAGTGTACCTCAGCTACGTTATTGAGAGGTCCACGGTTCCAATAGGGTACAGCCGGATTTAGTAGACAATGTACTTTACAATGATGGATAAGATTGCGAGACTCGCGTCATTGCTTTGCAAGACTAATGTCCAAACAATGTGCTCGTATTTTCACACATCGACGCCAGCCATAGAGTCGCGCTTGACGGAACCTGGCTATTCTTGGCCATAACCTCAGGCCCAAGTCGTGCCCATGTAAGCAGGATGAACCTGTTGACTGAGGGAGTGCGCGACCCGACAGGACATCTCTGGTTTAGGTCGGTTCAGATCGGAATGTAGGCCCCTGGTCTTCAATCAAGAGAAGAGTGAACCATAAGGTTGATCGAGTTCGTTCATCTGGGTTGCTGGACGCAACTCCAGATTCCCGGTCCGCTATCGCCCTATACAATCTCGGTTCGGCTTGGCTCTTCACACCATGGCAGCCTTTCCCGAGCCGAGAGATCCACTGCCCTTCATCAAGTACTTACTACCTTAGGGAACATCGGCCGAGGCGTGACGGAATGCAAAGGGGAAGAAGCCCTCCCTCATAATGGCAAGTCTTCTTCTGTTGGTCCACAGTTTGAAGGTCCACTTTCTTCGCTGTCTCCATGATGAGTCGTAGGTGAGGGTGACCGACCCGTACAGTATCCTACACTTGGCAAGGAACGGAGGCCCCAGCAGGCCTTCGGACCAAATGCTTCCAGCTTGGCTGGATATTAATGAAAAGATAACGTCAAAGAATCACAATGATTGAACTTCACCGCTTATTGCAAGTTTTGACCAGTATTGGCGAGCGCATCGAGACACGTTGAGTGGGTTGTGAATTGAGATTCATGAGGTGAGATTCATTCCATTGTGAGTGAACATAAGTGGGTCTCGGCGTGGTAGTCACATGACCCACGCGATGCGGCCTCCTACAGAGGACGCGTCGACGCGTTTCAATCGTAATTGCCGGGCAAGTCCAGCACGCATAGGTACTTTCCCAATTGGGACGTCATCGATTCCGACCTCAATCATCCTCCGCCAAGGGATTTCACGGTCTTTACTACCTTAATTGTACGAACGGTTGATTCCATCCTGGCCTCCATTGTCGCCGACAATGGATGACGACTTCGGCTTCGACTCGGCCGATGAAGCCGATCTACTCGCTGTAATGGACGCTGCTCCCTCTGCAGCCAAGCGACCTAATGAGGATACGGATCAAAGTGAAGAACCAGGACCGAAACGACAGAGAGGTTCCTCCGATCATTCGGTTCTGGCCCGCAGAGTCTTGCGAGAACGATTCGGCCTGGAAAGCTTTCGTCTGGAGCAGGAAGCAGCAATCAATCGCATCATCAGTGGCGACAGCGCTGTTGTAGTATTTCCTACTGGCGGAGGCAAGAGTTTGTGCTATCAGGTATGGAGGCTCTGCTCAGAATAGTCACTTATGTCTAATATCAAAAGGTCCCCGCCGTGGCTATAAAGGAGCTCGACAAGGAAACAGGATCGCGCAGCCCAGAAGAAAGTGGTGTCACGGTCGTCATTTCTCCCCTCATAGCACTGATGAAGGACCAAGTTGATGCCCTGAGACGCCGAGGCATCGCTGCAGCCGTTCTGGATTCGACGCAAAGTCGCGAAGAGTTCGTGGATATTCACAGCAAGCTGACGTGCGGCAAACTCGATCTCCTATACTGCGCACCAGAGCGGCTCAACAACGAGGGCTTTCTTGCGTCCCTAAAGTCAATCCGTGGTGGCATTCGCTTATTAGCGATTGATGAAGCACATTGCATTTCAGAAGTAAGTCTTAAATTGTCACAAACCCCCTACTAGTAATACGAATTCCATCATCTGACAGAATCGCAGTGGGGACACTCCTTCCGCCCAGACTACCTCAAAAGTCAGTTTCTAACGCGGCCATTGTTTCCGCTTTGACTGACGATAGCTCTTAGTCGCTCGTTTTGCGAAGGAAGCCAATGTGGACAGAGTCATCTGTCTCACAGCGACCGCGACAGCAGCCGTTGCGAAAGACATTCGAACTACTTTCGACATCCCGCCCGAGGGTCTTTTCGTGACAAGCATGTACCGACCAAAGTCAGTCAGGCAATGACAATACCTCTTTTAGTTAGCATCATGCTCACATCTCCTAGTCTCCGATTATTGGTCGAGCCTATCACTACAGATGACGACCAAGTCGAGATATGCACTAAATTCTTGAAGAAACACCCCGGCCCATCCATTATATACGTCACAACCCATGCGGTAAGCTTCTACTCACCTCACAACGGTGAACTTACTAACCTTGATACGAACAGGCTGCAGAAACTCTAGCCAATGAACTGTCTCAAAAGAAGTTCAATGCTCGCGCATATCATGGAGGACTAAACGCAGACGTACGGGGCGGAATACAAGACACGTTTCTCAAGAGTCAAAACATGATCGTGAGTTGGCCCGACAGTCTCCGGAGGAGGGAGTTCTGACATTGACATCTACTATCAGATTGTTGGCACAATTGCATTTGGCATGGGTATCGACAAGGAGAACGTGCGGACCATCATCCATTTCGATCTTCCAGGCAGCCTTGAAGCCTATAGCCAACAGATTGGGAGGGCTGGGCGAGACGGCAAGCCAAGCACGTGCATGCTCTATCTTTCGGACAAAGATTTCTTTGTCAGAAACGTCTTCATTCATGGCGAACGACCATCCATGCTGGCTCTACGCGCACTGTTTGAGGAGATCTGCAGCAAGGAGAACTGTCAGCTGAAGCCCGGAGACCCCTTCTCCGTGGCTATCACGTCGCAATCACGGCGGATAGACATTAGGGTTTGTCAAATCTATTTTCCTTGACTTTAGTCGGCATTCATCTCAACTAATGGTGGACAGGAGACCCAACTTTCCATCATTTACGCCTACCTAGAATTGAAGTTCGGACTTCTCAGGGCTAGCACTCCTCAGTACTCCGAATACAAATATCAGGTGCTGCAGCATCGTGCTCTTGAGACCGACGGCTCACCAGCATCGAAGTACATCTTATCCCACTCCAGAAAAGCGCAAACCTGGACAAATATCGATGTTGACGTTCCTGTTGGGAACGGCGGAGTAAGTCGCGCTGATATTACGCGGAAATTAGACTCGTGGGCCGAGTCTGGCATCATCAAGCTCAGTAAGACCGGTGTCCAAAAGGTCTTCCGCGTCAGCAAGAAACTCCCAAGTCAGCAGGCCGATATTGACGAAATCATCGACAACATAGACAAGGAAATTGTGAAGAAGGAGAAGCAGGATTTGCAGCGCGTTCAAGACCTAGTCAACCTGCTGACAGGCAAAAGCTGCCTTACTCGTGGGCTTGCAACTTACTTTGCCGATACGACTCACTCTTCAGTCAAGGAATGTGGCCACTGCACATGGTGCGAAACACATCAGCAGGTCAGTTTACCGGGATTTAACCCCAAACCTTTAGATGAAAATGCCATGAGAAGGGTGTTGGCCGTATGCAAAGAAGCATGTCAACAAGAGGCGAGTAAGGCCAAAGGTGGTAAACCGAAGACCACAGCACTTCAGACTAGGCAGGCTCTGGCCAACAGCACAGCCAAAGACGATGCCCGATTCATGGCCTGCGTAGCTTTCGGTATCCGGACACCCCGCGTCAGTAGCATGAGCCTGCACAACAACAAGGCCGTGTTTGAAACAATGAGCACCTGCAACTTCAACGTAAGTACATTTGGGAAAGCCAAGATGTAATGTTCCCTATGAGCATCGAACTGACCTCGGATCAGGATCTCGTTCAGAAATTCGAAGACATGATAAACTGAATGAAGTAATAGATTTCCGAGGTCTCAATTAATGGCTCCACTATCAGACAAACGTCAAGTACAGCTGGAGGCTCATAAAGTAGCGGCAATATGCCTGGCTTTACGATGAATTGCCGGGCTATGTATGTATTGATACCTTAGTTCGACTACGAGGCCCTGGCAAATACTCAACTAGAATGCTCAACTATACCGTGTATCCTAAAGGTATCAATCGCCCTGAACTTCAACGTAAACGCCTGTGGGGTGATTGGTAGATCAAGAACTGGAAACCAAGTACAAAAACTGAAGTACACTCGCTGTCATTGATATCTGTATCAAAGAAAGCCTTGCTGTGGATTCAAAGGAAATCAAGTCTTTGATCTAAATCTATCACGGCATCAAATACAGCCAGTCGACTGCCTCTCCCAAATACCCTTTCTCGATGGAATCCTCATCTCGTCCATCAAAGTCGAGTGTTTCTTCTCCTTCCTTTTCCTCCCAAGTATCACAAACAAACACTTGCAAATTACGATATTTGCCCGTCTTCCTGAGTCTCCGAAGGTGCTCCTCCAACCAATAACGATATGGAGAATGATTATGGTGGCGGTCTCGTGCTCGTACGATACGCAGCTTTCGTAAAGATTTTGGGAACTGGCGTAGAATGTTTTCGTCCTGTGTGCCGGCGTCCTGTAACTGCGTCGTGAAGGTTTCCAGATTACAGAGCTTGTGTAGAAGCAGACTCGCTGTTTCTCCAGTCGATCGATCGGGGAACCGGACACTTAGAGCTTTAAGTGTCTCTTTGTGTTCGACCAACGCGTCAATCATATCCACCATCTGACTGACACTCGACACACATCTGTCAAGTCCGAAATGACATAAGTGCTTTGGCGTCGAGATAATTTCCATGATGAACGGTTGCGTGTTTAAACTCGACCAGATGGAAATATCGGTGAGCTTTTCCCAAGTTTGCGATCCGTCAAACCATGCATCGTCGAAATGCTGTATCTTGAGAGATCTTAATTTTGGGGCATTCTTTGAGATAGCTTTGACAAGCTCCATTGGAAATCGTCCCACGCGAGGTGTGCATTTGATGCGTAGGGTTTCCAAGTTTGGAAAGACGTCATCTTCCATCAGGAGAAGTTTGTTCGAGACATCATGGTTTCGGTGATTTTCACTCAAGATGTACTCAATCTCAAGTTCTCTCAAGGATTTGGCCATGAGAGGAACCATTATGGCAAGTATGTTGAAATGGCCGCCACGATTCCATCCTTTTGGGTGAACTGCAAGCCTCATTTTACTGAGTGTCTCTTCAATAAACGGAACTTCGTCATCTGACAATCTCATCTCTTGCTGCCGAGGAGATTGCTCTGGAGCGTGGATAGGAATGCACACACGTCGCACATGTTGTGTACAATATGGGCGGGAGTCCCAACCCCTAATGAGAGATATCAGGTGGCTATGTCCGGGTTTCACCAGCCAGACGTAGCTGAATAGATTTCGCCTGACCAGCTGCCGAAAAGCTCGACATGTTCGACTGAGTGCCTCCAAGTCTGACAGCTTGCTCTTGAAACTGGCGTCTACCCAGTACAGGTGCGAATACGATGGCGCAGTCGAAAGCTGATCAAAAATATGCTGGATAACCTCCGGCGGTAATTTTGCAATCCCCACCATCGCCTTTTTTGTGAAGGTGTCTCCCCGTAGATGCATGAAATGCCGCGTGGAACTTAGTTATGTTGTGAAGTGCAATAAGTGTTGGAGGTAAAAGAGTTGGTGAACGTATCCAGAGGAGCTGTTTTTCAAAGATGTTCTCTTTCATGACCCATCTATGGCGTGCATTGCAGAAAACTTTGTTATGCGGACCGACCGTATGAACATGGATTTGGTACAAGTCACGTAGCTGTTTCTGTCAAATCAGTAACCTGTGTAGTCTTCTGGTCCTCAAGGTCCGCGAATCTAGGGTATTCATCGGTCTTAGTACATGCCGACACGTACTGGCATTCCAAGTTTAGCATCCGAGCTTCGAACTATGAATAACGTCAAGATCTTCTGGTCTCTGTGGCCAGCTCACATTTTCATCGTAGATCTACTTTCAGAAGTGCGTTACAGGACCGTACATTCAAACCACGGCCAAAACGGGGACGTGCTACCATCGTCGATGGATGCTCTGCCATATTCACTTTTATGGTTCTGCGGAATTAAGGGAGGAAGCTCCCCTACTTTTGTTCACATTGAACGTTGCGCGCCAACCAGGCTAGGAATCTGGCTTTTCTTGGACATTATGAAACTATCCTCCGAGGTTGTCAACTGCAACTGCAGAGTATGTTTCGTATTAGCAATGGTTCTGGCTGGTGGCAGATTCCTTTCTCAGTTCATCGATCTCAGTACCATCCCCACATGTCCATGTCAGCTATCTTCCAGTATAATCCATTTCCGTGTGCATTGTAACTTTTCAAAGGACATTGGGCCACAGTGGCATGTGTCTTGACGGTGAAGGTCTTCAGAGTATTTCCTATTCCATCACCTCAATCTCCTCGGCTTCCTCCACGTCCCTCTTATTGCCCTTCTTGCCACCCTTGCCTCCATTGAGCGCCTACAGTCTCCTGTTAGCATTTATTTCTGCTCAAAGAGTCGACGTTCACACTCACGGCCTGCTTGTTCTTCTTGTTCTGTTGCTCACCGCCCTTGAACTCGCCAGAGAGCTTCTTGAGAGTAGCCTGGTCTTGCTTGGAGTTGTTGCCCTTCAGGCCCTTGGCCTGCTTTGCCTCCTTGGCCTGTGCACCTTGAACCTAGAAACGAACAATTAGATCTAGGTCGCTCGAGATGACAATGAAAAACACATTTGCCATACCTTCTTGAGGCCGTCATTCAACGGCTTGTTCTTGGGATCCGCGTTCTTCTGGTTCTTCTCGCGTTGCTTCTGTCCCTTGGCGATGTCCTTGTTGAGCTGGCCCGACTGCTTCTTGAAGTCTTTGGTGCCCTCGGCCTTTTGGACCTTCTTGACGTCCTTTTGCTCTTGCTTTTGAATATTAATATTCTTGTCGATACCAGCGGCCTCCTTCTTTCTTCCCGCCGCGCTACCCTTCTTAGATGCGCTTTGCGCCCGCTCAACAAGTGCGTCTACCGGTGCCGGCACGGGCAGAGCAACAACGAAGGTGAAGAGGAGGAAGAGGGAGAGGATGAGCTGAGGAACGCGCATATTGGCGATTTGGTAGTATTAATGAATGATTTGAATAAGGTATTAAGGGTCGACGCCGTCAAGACTGTAACTCGATGAACTGAGATGAGAAGGAGATGGTGATGAAAAGTGCTGCTTGTGATGGCACTTTTGAGCAGCTTATATACGCTCAGTTTTGGACTCAACGGTCAATGGAAGAGCATGTTGCGAGTCATCATCCCATTTCCTAGGTATTCGCGCTTCGTCCGAGGGATGTCGACGGATCTAGCCACCATACATTGGCAACGTTCTTCTGCCCGAAGTCGTGATGCTTTCGTGATCGTTTCGCCCTGCAGCAGAGGAAGCTTTTCTTGTGTCGCATACGAGAGCAATTACGCCCGCGAACCATCTGAATTCAAACGACTGTTGACAAGTGACAAGCTTTTGGGTGGAGTCGAAACGAAGAAAGTTTAGCCGCATAAGTGTTTTGGGCTGAACCTAGATGCCAAGACCTTTTACACCATGCTGAATGTTCGGGTCACATTCCACAATAGATGCCAAGATAGATCGGACTCGACTGTAAGTATCGTATTAGTGCGAGGCTGGTCAGATTATACGCGGAAACGGAAGGAGAAAGGGACATGGGAAGAACGATTATAGTTCTTACACCAAGTGCCTGGAGAGACGATACCTGTATGTTCTATGTCTTGGTCCTTAGAACGGATACGTCGTACTTCGAGACTATCCCACAGTCATTACAAAAGCATTCAGAACCTCTCATCATATTCGAGCCAAGTTTGGCAAACTACCGCTTCGGGTAAATTTGAAAGAGTCAGAATGCACGCAAGACGAAGGAAGCATGAAGCTGGAACCACTCCAGCCCTGCTACGGAATTCCCCTGCGTCTCAAGTACACACACCGATCAGATTATCATCCAACTAGTATGAACTCTACGATAGTGTAAGCACATGGCAAAACGAAGTGTCTCTTGTCTTGTCCGCCTCATTCACCGTGTCACTGCAGGTAGATCTAAGCTCGTGCATGTCTTTACCATCTAGAAAACGGCCTTCGCTTCGCGGACATTGCAAGAGCCAAACGCGGGTAAATTCTAGGCCATACACTTGCATAAAAGAGGAGAAAGCTTGTGAAGCTTGCGGCAGCCTATAACCACGATGCTTGCTCTTCCCGTCTTGTCAGGCGCGGGCAGCGGGGCCGGCCTCCGCCTTTTGTCCGCACTACCACTTCCCCGCGCTAGGTGGAACAAAAGAAAGTTTAAGCTCTCTTGACATGCGGTAATTTGCTCGAAACTCCTGACTAGCGCCGGAATACTTAAGCTTCTTTTTCATCTTTGTTTTAGCACCGTTGGAGGCTTAAAGTTAGCTAATGACTTATTCAACAAAACATCCTGATGGAGAAACGAATGATTAGAGTGAAAATAAAGCCCGACAGTCAGTTTTGAGGTTGGACCGCTAGGGAATCCCTGCGTCAATCATGGATCATCGTCTGAAAACCATTTCCTTAGATGACTTGCAATATGATCTTCGTCGTCCAAAAAGCGCTGCCAAGAAGTACATCGCCAAGAGCTGCCTTTAGCACGGTACAGCCAAAGAACACTGTCTGAGCGGCTGTCACCATCACGCATCACAGACACCGCATAATCTATGCTCAAATCACAGGTAGCAGTCAAAGTGCATTGGGGTCCATCAAGTCCTCTCCGGTAGCCTGTCCGTAGAAAGCCTTGCTGACGGGTCATCGGCCTTATCCTTAGCCCTGGGCTATCCCAAGCGCATGCCTAGAGAAGGTTGGATTTAGGGCAGACCCGGCACTAGCAAGAGCTTATTAACGATGTTTGAGTCTCAGAACATCGGCACACTAACTTGCCGCGGCTGTTCAACGCTTAATACTATGAAAGGACGAGGCGAGCAGGATTTGAGGCTTACACACGGATCACCCTACCGCTTTCGGCTTGACGCGTGGTCGGAATTCCGGCAAGCTGGTCCTTCAACCCACTGAGCCCAGACCAAGTCGATCATGTGCCGGCTGTACCTACCTATCGGTAGATATCCTGCGGAGATCGCCTCCGGTGGGATGGTGTGGGCTAACACATCATCAAGCTGAGACACGTTATGCCTCGCCGACTCAGACAACCTTACTAAAGATTCCGTCCAGACTCGGTTCTTCATTGTCGTTTCCGCAGGCCCATAACAAACCTGCTCATTCCCCTCGCCGTCGTCACTTGAGTCACTAAAGACAACTTAGCTTGAAGCATCACTGTGGTCGCCAGGATGAACTAGCTAGCTCAGCAGGAGATAGCATTAATACTTTTATGGTTAAACGTGGCCAATTTAGATATGGAGGTTTACCGACTCTAGAAGATGATGCACATATTACATAGGTAGATGATATCAAACCCCCCTTTCCGTTAACACATGCAGATACGGCATCACAACAACGACTGATGCAGCCATCATGAGACTGGCAGGCCAAAGGCAAGCGGAGGAGCTTATGCCAATTTGATAGTGTAGCGCGAGGCAACCTTAGATGTTGTGCAGAAATCTGTCTTTAAGCATGTCTTTTTGTCCACATCGCCAAGCTCCATCATGGCATGCCATAAACAAGACTAAGTGGCCAAAAGACTGCAGAATAATTATGTAGGATATCAATGACACCCATAGTGAGTTGTGGCGATACTGCAACAATGCCCGTCATATGCCGTCGATGCATGTTCTTAGAATTGAAGTAGCTGCTATGCCAAGTCCCTTGTTGAGTTCATCTCCCGAGTCCTTCAACGTCGGAGTGAGGGTCTACATTTGTGAGGCTATCTGGGGAGACTTCGCTCGCACTAATACTATTTGTTTGTTCCAAAGTTCTGCCTTTGCTGGCGGCTCGGGCGGTTCTCGATATCGTTTTCACGGTTTTAATACACAGAATCAGTGAATACTCTCACTGTCTCAATAGACTATTTTTCTTAGATATTTCCACCTTTCCAACTTTCCCTCCTGCAAAGTTCACAACCGCGGATCATTGACGGCGATGTTGGGCGCCCGACGCCACCACCTGCACTAATACTATATCAATGTTACGTGGGCGAATTTCGTTTAAAGAAGGTGCTCCAGGTCAGCTTTGTTATCTCCCAGAGGCTCTTTAAACTGGAACCCAGTCTGAAGTTCTTTCCAGGCTTTTCCGATAAAAGTCTGTTTTTCCCTATATTCTTTGAAATGATAAATTCAGCCAACGGGGGCTTGTTCGGCTCGGTTCGGCCCCACCGTTGTCCTCTTCGTAGCTGCAAGTTCGGGGATGGCCCGGGATATCCGCATCTCGGAAAGTCCGCCTTAGACTATGGCGGGGAAGTGGGAACGCGGGGCGGGCAAACGAGAGAATCTGCAAATCAATGTTACTCAAGCTCTTAGCAAAGACCGGGGTGGAATCAAACTGTTTGGGAAATAAAGCAGGCGGCAGCTGCATGTTCATAGAATCCTTCGCCATCAAAGTGACAGGAAGCTTTCTTCAGCCTTGAATATGCAGTTTCTGCGTTTCATATCCTTCGTTTCATGCCCGTTGGGTGTCCTAGGCTCTCTGGCAAATACGTCTTACACCAATCCAATCATTCCAGGGTGGCACTCAGATCCTAGTTGTGCTTTTGTCCCTGAGTGGAATGAGACTTTGTTCTGCACGACGTCGTCATTCATCACCTTCCCAGGAAATCCTGTCTATGCCAGCAAAGATCTTATCGACTGGAAACTTGCAAGCAATGCAGTCAACCGGGTGTCCCAGTTCCCTCTGATTCGCAACGGAAGTCAAGGTGAAGACCTTGGCATGTTTGCAAGTACTTTACGTTACAACAATGGCACGTTCTACTTGATCTCAACTTGGGTCAGTGCCCAGCTCGGAGGACCAAAGTTTGTCATCTTCACTACAAAGGACCCATTTGACGACCTGTCATGGTCCGATGCGATATGGCCAGAAACACCAGGCGACACAATTGATCCAGACATCTTCTTCGACGATGACGGCTCTGTTATTGTTGCTTCTTCCGGAACACCCATCAAGGCAGTTTACCTTGATCTCTCCACCGGCAATACCAGTGAGCCTTGGGACCTTTGGAATGGGACTGGAGGCGCAAATGCCGAAGGCCCCCATGTATACAAGAAGGATGGATACTACTACTTATTGATTGCTGAAGGTGGCACTCAACTAAATCATTCGGCGACTATTGCACGATCTAAGAGCATCAAAGGACCTTGGGAAGCGGCACCTCATAACCCCCTTGTTTCCAATAGAGGCACCAAGGAATACTTTCAAACTGTTGGCCATGCTGATCTCTTTCAAGACTCGGCTGGAAACTGGTGGGGGGTTGCTTTGTCTACTCGCGGAGGACCGGATCTTTACAACAGTCTTAACTATCCCATGGGCAGAGAGACTGTTCTTTTCCCAGTCTCTTGGCTGGCAGGAGGCTGGCCTATCGCAGATACAGTTCGCGGAAACATGAGCGGACCGTTGCCCAACAAGTCCTTTGTTCAACGAGGAGTTGGCCCTCTTATTGGAGAAGCAGATGTGGAAGATTTCAAGCCGGGGTCCACGATTCCGTCGCATTGGGTCTATTGGAGAGCTCCATTCAATGCCTCATACTTCACCGTATCTCCCCAGGGTCATGAAAATGCTCTTCAGATGATTGCCTCTCGCGCTAATCTCACAAGAGATGTTGTCTTCAATGTCACCACTGAGGGTGTCACATCTGTCTTTCGACGGCAGGAACACACTTTCTTCAACTTTACTGTTGATATCGAGTTAGGTTTTGGAAAGTCTGTCGGTGACGAAGTCGGAGTTTCCAATTATGTCAATCCTACTCAGCATGTCGATCTCGGCATCATTTACCAAGCCACTATGTCTGACAAGGGAGACGAGCTCGAGCCTTACTTCCAACTCAGGGCTCGTTCAATCAACAACTCAACAGCTCCTGATCCAAAGATCGTACCGGTTCCGCAAGAACTGTTGGGCCGAGCTATTAGGATTAGGATCTCTCCGAGGAATGAGACTCACAATGAGTTCTTTGGAAGCTCGGCAGATCATGTAGGTTCTGAGCAGTCGCTCTGGGTCTTCAATAACGCGTTGTTGGCCGGAGATGGAGCTACAACCGGTGGTTTGCTCGGTGTCTATGCTACTACAAATGGTGGGAATGGCTCCTTCAACGGGTACGTTGGAAGGTGGAGATACGAACCCATTGGCCAGAAGGTGGATTACAATGTCTTTGTTCCAACATCAACCAAACAACAGTAGGCATGGGTGTGTTCCTCTCTAAGTCTTAATAGTAAATGTATGAGGGCAGGAATCATGTGCATCTCTGCCCGAGCAAGATTGAAATTCGAAATCGGTACATCTCCGATAAGCCCAAGACTATTCGTTTGCTTTCCCCGAGGCAATCCCTAAGACCAAAGCTAAATCGCTGTGTATGCTGATATTCGCAATCATGCTGGCAAAAGGCAGGAGAGCTGTGATGCCCTTCCCTGACTATCGATACGTCTTCTAATGCAAAACCTCGGTGGGTGTATTCATTATCAATCTTTTCGTGTAAAGTTTGAGAAACCACTGATTCATTGTCCATTGTGAACTTCGTCCCAATGCACTTCAGTGAAGTCTTCAGAAGGGCTGTCCAAAAGAGGCTGTTTATTATGACGCAAGATATCGTCAAACAAGGCCCGAATGAACGTCCTTGAGATATGGACCATTCTCCTTCCGTCAATTGGCCCCTGTGTACGTGTTGTGCCGAAAGTCTTCCAGAACCCCAGGTCAGACCAGTCAGGATGCAAACTTCCATCCACCGAGAACAGACGCCACCAGCCAGTCTGCCAGGCTCGGTAGTTGATCCAGGTGCGGTCCGAATTCGCGTTGTGGCCCTGAAAGCCTAGAATCATCGAGGGTTTCTTGAGATCCGAGTCCGATGTGCTGTTCAATCGACCCCAGTTGGCACCGTCGACGTTTATAGCGGCTGCTACTGCATCGCTCTCGAGAGCTACGGTGAGAGCAGCAGAGCCTCCTAACGATATCCCGAATGTGCCGAAATCGGTGGTCCTAAAGGGAGCTTCAAGCCTTGCCACGAGTGAGGGGAAGTAGTCGATGAAGTGCAGCTGCTGTCTGACCCTGACGGCATGCAAGTCCTCTACCCAGGCAAGGGAATAATTGCTGAAATTCGGTGGCAGTCCGTAGACGCCCGTGCGATTGGGGTACCGCAAAAAAGGCTGCTCATAAACGTGATCAAACGCAGCAACGACATATCCTTCAGATGATGCAAAGTTAGTCTGGAGTTCTGAGCAGCGACACATTGAGGGATCGCGAGCTTACCATGTGATATCAGTTCCGAGATAATTATGTAGTCGCCATCCGTCGGAACACCCCAACCGCCAGGTCCGAAAAGAAGTGTTGGGCCGCTCTCTTCATTCAGATAAGTCGCGTTCCATCTCAGCGTTGACGTCAAGTGAGAAGTATTGTAGCTCCACAGGTCGGTGTATAATTTGGCAAGCTCGGGTTCGAGGTACGGCTTTGGGCAAGGCTTCTCGTCTTCGGTAGGATAGTACAGCGTGACGAGGTACTCAGTCGAAACACCGTTCGGCCACACGACATCATTATCTTCCAAGAAGGGGACGACGAAACGCTGAGCGCCGACGTTGTACCCTCCCGTAGGATCAGGGAGTGGTTCTCCGAGGGCCGTACATGCGAGCGACACGCAGAACCAAATCGCCAGGGCTCTGGGGGTTTGAACCTTCATGTTGGCGATCGAGGGCGCAGTGAAGCCGTTCAATACATTGAGCAAGATCATTATTCCCTGATGCGATATTGGAGGATTTAAATATATTTTCTGATATGGGCGTCGTTCTTGGCATAGAGTTTTTGCCTCGCGAACCCCTCTCGGTGCAGAGGGGGAATTCATTGCCAGACGCAATGCAGCGGCGCAGTCAGATCAGCTTAGTTTGCAGTCTCTACGAGAACTAGCCTTAGCTCAATCAGGCAGCTGGGGGAAACCGTTATGCTGACAGGAGTCAAAATGTGCAACGTCGGGCAATTGGTTGTGCGCGTAGTGTGGGGGACGGCCTGCGAATCGTCTTGGCATTCAGAGTGCAAGTAAGCTGACAGCAGGTCGGGTGATATAAGGCCGGGTGATCACTCTGCCTTCGATTCCCGTTGCTAGTTGAGGATAATTGTCAGCCTCATCATGGATTGACGATCTAATATCTTGCCCGGCACTCAGTTCCATGTTGCGCAGCCAAGGTGCAAGGCTTCAAGTTGGGTCTAAGAAATTGTGCGAAGTGAAAATCTGAATCGCTGCAGACTGTGATCAAATGCGTCTTGGATTCTGCTAGTCAGGACAAATGAAAGACAGATCCAACAAGCCAGCACGATGGCTGTCATGAGAGATGGGGAGGTTGCGATCGAGAGAGGAACAGGGATGGTATACATGTACTACTCTGTAAAGGACATGACATTAGCCATAAGCCTACTTCCGATACCACATTCTCGTGATCTTCGTCCTTCTCTGCTTTGCCTGTAAGAGAAACACGCCATGTAGTAGAGCCTCTGCAGTGGGTGGGCATCCGGGCACGTAGATGTCGACGGGTACAATCCGATCCACTCCCCTGACGACTGAGTAGCTGTAGTGGTAGTAACCACCTCCATTCGCACAACTGCCCATGCTGATAACCCATTTCGGGTCGGGCATCTGGTCGTAGCATTGTCGAACAGCAGGTGCCATCTTGTTCGTGACCGTGCCAGCAACGATCATAACATCAGCTTGTCGAGGTGAGGCGCGGAAGATGATGCCGAGACGATCCTGGTCGTAGCGGGGCATGGATACATGCATCATCTCTATACCGCAGCAGGCTAGACCAAAGGTCAAGGGCCAGAAGGAACCCTGGCGGGCCCAATTGACGATGCTATCCAAGGTCGTTCTGTTATTGCTGTTAGCCAGTGATGGGAGTGTCGAGACATGATGTTCTGATGGACTTACAACACATGTTCGACGGCGTTGGATGGTGGTTTGATGATTTGGCTGTCAAAGGGGAGAGTGTTCTGTGGCACGATGCTAGTTTTCTTAGAGTATGATCTCGCATGGCTCTGATGGCGATGATGCTGAGGTCCAAGTATAGATGATGTAGATGAAAGATGAAGGGCATAAACTTGTGCTCGAGGTGCCAGTCTCAGCGGATGATACCGCAAAACAGCTAGTGAGATGGTGAGCCATGGTATTAAGACCATGCGTGTGCGTGAGAAGTGGCCGTTGACGACTGAGGACCCTAAGAGCCCGAGGAGGTATTGAAGATAGAACGGACTCACAAAGGCTGGACATCTTATACGACTCAATAGGGTCGGTCAAAATCGATCATCGAGCAGAGGGAAAGCTGAGCAAGGCAGAAGGGTAGGTATCAGATAGGTCAATTCAATCATTTGCAAGAAAGAGCGCAGCCTCGGACATTATAACAGGCCACCGGAGGCCGAGAGTAATGCGTCAAACATCAGGAAGATTGGTCATTTTATACGGTATTCGAATCACGGAAACCCCCCATCGATGCATTATATCGCGGTAGCCGCAAAGTGGGTGCAGGGTGTGGTATCTTAAAGAGGTTCCTGGTGCAAAAGGTACTACTGATGAAGTGACTTGTTTCACTTGATACATATGGCTATGATACTATGGTTGTAGGAGAAAATTCATATTGCGGGGGTTTCCGGGTGCTGCAGTTGACGTTGATGATGGTGAGAAGTTGAGGAAGGAAGAGGTCGAAATGCAGAATGAAGTTGGGGGAGTAGCCTCTTGCCCTTTATTTTGTGCCAAGACCGAAGACGCTGTGATTCGCCAATGGATCCACTAAGGTGGATTGTGGGGCTGCGACAGCGAGGGTTCTGTCCCAATCGGGATAGTGAATCCACCTGACCTCAGGGCGGGAGAACCGGGGCTCACCGAGATCCCGGGGGTGGGATTTCTCCGGTCGCATAGATACATACATACAGACTGCCCTCAAGCCCCTTGTCGCGGCCTTGTGGGTCCCCATCCTGCCATCCCGCGTCATTCCGAACGCGTTCATCGGCTTAAACCCACCATCTTCACATTCTCTGTCGTTCATCCAAGCCCACTGCCAACCAACGCGACCTGATTACTGAGAATCCTAAGCCCAATTCGAATAGCCCGCCGCTATCACTACTGGGATTCTTCAACTACGCCGCCGGTAGACAGCCGGACCCGCCATGGCCGCTCCTTCAACCGGTGGCCATACATGTGCTATTTGCGGGAAGCAGTATCAAAGAAGTGCTCATCTACGCCGGCACGAATCCACGCGTAGGTAGTCAGTCTCCTTGTTTCCTCTCTTCGTTTTTCCATCCTTTCCGTATTTCTTCTTTTGTGTCAACATTTTGCCCCTTTGGGACTACAGCCTGTTCTGTTCCGGGCGATCTCGCCTACTTCCCGCCTGACAGTGATGACTGCCCGGATTTATCGGTTGTCGTTATCAATGTATTGTCAGTTCGTTCCAGCATTCAACGTGACAGGATTCACCTTGCCTCATCTCAATCAAGCTTTTGCGTAGTATATCAACCAGCCCGAGCTACATTTTAGCGTTTGATTGACTTCTTCGGGACTTTTCTTTTGACCTCGGTACTCACAACCTCGCAGACGTAGAATCCGCTAGGTACAAGTGCCTGTACTGCGAAAAGGCGTTCGCCAGACGGTTCGTATCATCTTGCGCACATCCATGCCGAAAATCACACTAAAGCGTGACAGAGATGTGTGCCGTAAGCACACAATCCACTGCCCCAAGAAACAAGACCAAGAAACCGTTCCAAATCTCAAGCGCGGCCAGAAACCCCGCGCATGCGACGCCTGCTTTCACAGCAAGCAGTCATGCGATACTTCTGATCCCTGCGTGCGATGCGTCTCTCGCAAGCTCCAATGCACATATCACCGGTTGGAAGAGAGCACATCCGTGATCACAGATGCATCCTCATCCACACCGTCCTCATCATTGGCCACAACCGCGGTAGGCACACCTGATAATGACAAGGACCGCACCAAAATCACAGTCGCTTTCCTTCTCGGTCTGACAAATCCCAACTCGGAGAACATACTCGAGTTCCTCGCCAGTGAAGCAGCTGCGAGAACCGAGGGCGATGGAATCGATACAACAATGAAGGACATGCATGTGCCCACGCAATACCCTCCAAACATGATGATCGATGATGACTTCACGTTCCTCCCTTATGGGTTTGCATCAACATTCGCTCCCGAGCTGATAGACTTCAATTCCTTGGACGTCTTGTCAGAAAACATACTATCCAACACTAGGATGTCGTTTCTTGTACCTGAAAGCCTAGAACCGCGATCAGCCGAAATAGTCTCGGGATTGCAAGAACTTCATCACACTCTGGTTGCCACAAATCAATGGTATGACGGCACCTTTGATCTTGACACGGCAAACTCGGTGTTCTCGGCAGGCAATCTGTGCCAATTTGCTGCGACCTACTTCCGAGTCAGTCACCTCGACTTTCCTATCGTTCATCGGCCAGACTTTGGCAGTGACTATACAACCAAACAGCTGCTCTTGGCCGTTGGACTCTCTGGGTCTCTGAGATCACCCCCAAGCGACGATGCCCTCGCAGCCCGTGGCTATCTCACGCTTGCCGAGGAATACATTTTTCGCTGCCTTGAGCGTCTGATGCCCCCAGGCTCAGCGCCAGAGTTCACCCATGAGCTTGAAGAGACACTACAGGCAGCCCTCATGATCCACTCTGTTCAGTTCTTCCGAAACGACGTAGCATCGCGGCGGAAGAACAGAACCCAGCGACTCCCGCAGCTTGTATCGGCCGTACGGGTTCTCGGTCTAGCACAGACCAAACATGCTCCCATATTCCAATATGAAGAATTCGTGCGCAATGAGTCAAAAATCAGGTTAGCCTTTTCTTCCCCCTCAGTAGACACATCGTTGCTGACAGGTGTGCAGACTAGCCATTTGGACGGCGTTAGGAGACTGGCAGCAATGCGGCATGTTCAATACTCCGCCATCGATGACGCCTGCAGAGTTGACTTGTGATCTGCCAAGCCCCTTGGAACTTTGGGATGCTAAAGACGCGGCGGAGTACTATGAAGCGGCCAACGCTCTCGGGGCCGACGGTTCTAGGCGGATTTGTTCCGTCAAACAATGCACCGACGCGCTGATGGCTGAGAACTGGGTCGGCATGGGGAGCTTCCCGTTCCAAGATATCAGCGGATCCGACCTACAATTGTTAATTTTCGGTATGTTCGGCCCCTTTGCCTCGTTTGGATTCAACCATACGCAAGAAGTGGACGGATCTGATGACAATAGCACTTAACGGTATGTTGGCATCGGCCAATCTCATGGGCGTCTTACCTGCGTGCGCACCAGCCCTATTGCGTGCCGTTTCCAGGTGGGAAGTCATGTGGGACACGATCAGGGGTCGCATGGAGCCCGCCGTTTTCGAAAAAGCAGGCATGATCCGGTACAATAGCGAGCTATGCTGGATAGCTAGAAAGCTCGTTCACGTCTCCATCTCGGGAGACAAGAGTTCTGCGTACATGCAGAAAGTTGGACACGATTCTCTTGTGCAACTGCATGAGTTCGTGCGTCAGTATCGCGATAGCTGAACAGTGTCTACGATGGCTACCACCGCGAGTGAGCCAAGCATCCATGCAACGGAAAGTACGCGCACGGATATTGCTGTCTTTCACAACTCCCCTTCAACCGCACATGTACTTCAAGATGATTAATGAGGAACTTGGAACTTTGGAAGCGAAAAGTCAAATGTTTGGATAGTGTAGCCGTTTGTTATTCAATGCTGATTGTGGGCTTTTCCAATGGTAGAGAACTCGCATTCAATCGATTCGATAAATCAAACAGGGCGGCGTCAGACAAGATTCATACTGATCTCTACCGCCTTTTCCTCCATCTTACTGGTAAAGTACAAACAAAAATTCTCGCCAAAACTCAACTTTCAGAAAGCAATGACCATCAATCCGCATCAACTCTCGAATGACTCTTTCAACGTCCCTTGACGGCAGGCACCAATATGATATCGCCGACAGAGTCACTCGCCACCTTTTGAGACTCCATTCTTCACACTAAGTTTTACAAGTGACGCTTGCGCGCACAGCCACCCTTGGAAGCAGCGGTCGTGGTGGTGGAAGCGGCAGCAGAAGTAGCAGAGGTAGCAGGAGGAACGCCAGAAGCAGCACCGCTCGGGGGAGCACCACTGGGACCGGCACCGTTGGGGAAAGTACCGCTGGGAGGACCACCGGCACCTCCGGGGCCACCGCCGCCGTTTCCGGAAGAGGTATCGACACCACCGTCGGCGTAGTAGTGGGCAGCGGCGCTAGCAGAGCTGGAGTAGTCGGCGGTGGTGTTGTATCCAACGGTGATCCAGGCCAAGACACCCTCGGAGATGTCGTCACCGAGCAGGACGTACTGGACAAAGGGGTCGTAGTCCGCAGTCGCTTCACCAAAAGCGATGCTGTCACCAGAGTTGAGAGTCAGCTCCTGCGTGTTGGTGTTGTAAGGCGCGACAGCCTCGACTTCCGAGATGAGGGTCTGGTCGAAGAAAAGCTGGCCGACGTGGTTAGTCACGCCGTCGACGTAGGTGTCGTTGTCCAGGACAGTGGCGCCCGTCGTCGTCTTGACGTGGATGTGGGTAGCACGGCCGGTGTAATGGCCCGGGAACATGGTATCGAACTGGACAACTCCATCGTCGTCGGTCTGCTGCACACCGCGGCCAAAGGTCGAGTTCAGACCGCCCTGGCCGGTGGCAGAGACACCAGAGTACACACCCGTCGCGTTGCAGTGCCAAGCGTCGATCAGGATCTCGGGCACACCCGCGCAGGTGGAGACGTCGACAAATTGGACGTCGAGATGCAGAGGCACGCCGGACTGTCCATCAGTCATCTCGCTGCGGATCAACTCGCCGGCAACCCAGTAGGGACCAATCGTGGTCTCGGGAACGACGACGCAGGTGGTGTTCTGGGCGAAGAGAGTGGCAGGGTCGGTATCGAGAGTGTATCCAGCGGAAGACTTGTGGTCGACAGCTGCCCAGGTGGTCAAGTCACTCTCAGCACGGCGGCGGATCGGAGCTAAAGAATCACATGTCAGCCAGGAACTTTGAAAGATTTTCCCGTGGAATCTCACCAGTCGCAGAAATGGCTCTCTTGGCGCGGAGGTCCTTGAGCTTGGCCTCGCGACGTTGGATAGCACGCTGCTTGAGGGCGATGTCGGCAGCCGAGCCGGCACAGGCGTCGAGAGCCCGGCGGGTGCTGGCGGCAACAGATCGGCGCAGGGCCATCTCGCGCTTATGGACGTGAGGATCATGCTTCTCTCCTGGGTGCGCAGTAACACCGGTGAGGGCGATGGCCGCCAACGCGAGGCGGGAAACGGTAACCATTTTTTGTTGAATCGAGATGTCAAAGTTGAAAATAGCGAAAGTGAAGTGAAAAAAGAATGTAATTTCTCAAGGTCTTGCTCAAGTGAAGAAGTGAAGGAGAAGTGCCTAGAATGACTGATGGTGGTGAGAAAAGAAACAAGAACTGTTGAATTTCGCCATGGCTCAACGTCTTTATGTATGCCATCTCCGGGAGGGAACAAGATATCGTCACGCTTGATCGTTCACGCCTCCGAATCACACAACAAGGGCAAACAACAACATCGCAATCTTTTGCAAACTGCGTACGTATGAGTGACTCGTCATCAGTCCTCGGTCCAACGCATGGGTTTTCACATCGACTTGCAGTCACGCACCGTCTACCGGAGGGATTGAGGCTGTAGTCGGATGCCAAGCCCCGGTATGTGGGAGCTTGGGCGGCGGAGGGCAGATCTTAGTGCGACGCTGCTACTTTGCGGGGAAACGGCCGGCGAATCACAGAGACCTCAATCAAATCACCCTCTCCTTTCCGAATGGTTCGGACCTTTTAAGGGGTAATTAAGCCAAGGGTTAAAGATAAAATCAAGCGTAATGCCATGTGGGGGGGGGGGGGTCTATGTGGATTAATGGATTATGGATTAGCAACCCGTCGGCGGTTCCCTTTGTGGCGTTGCTAGTCTCTACCGATTCAATTTGTCTCGGGTGAGTAGCCAGAAATATTCAACGTGGACGTTTGCATTGCGGACGTTATCGCGCCCTCGGTGGTCTAGCCGTGTCTCGCGTCATAGCCACCGACATGCCAGGAGCACCTAACCAACCTCGATCTCGGGAGCTAGGGGTACACAGAGATTCCACCAGGCCTGGTTTCTGTCTTGTACGCGTATGCCTACTTTACAGACCCGGCAAGTGACGGTAAAGGTTAAGAGTCAATCGGTTCCTCAGGTAAGAGTCATTTTCCGCGGTGGATTTCCTTACAGCTGGAGCCTCTGCGTATTCATGAATCGAGATTCTGCGACCACGTTCAGTACGCCTGTAACCTTTGTGACCTCAGTATGTTTGCACCACCTCCCGAAATATCATAGACACATGGTAAGTCTCTATCAAGAAGCATTAAGTGCTCTGAGCTTGTGTTCTCCTCGAACATCAGTTATTGTGGAATTTTGATGAACATTTCTTGCGACAACAAGTCATTAACATTGACGTTGTCTTGATCGTGGAACCCCTCCCGGAGCAACAGCCGAGGTAGAGATGATGATTAGGGCAATTCGTAGTATAGCATCAGCTGTAGTCGTTCCCATTGACTAACGCAAATATTCCACGGTTAATTGACCTAGGTAATTGTAACACCGATAAAAACATGACTTAACCTCACAAAACCCACTTCTCTGTAACGTCCATTCGAAAGAAACTGTTGAATCATAAATCATCATTTGCTCACAAGCTGCAAGCTTCAAGAAGTTGAATATTGGTGAAATCTGATGCCGCTGTCTTCTGGGGAATTGTTCGTATTGTGACTGATATGTCGTATTAAATGACCTTGACGGCTGCCCTCCTGGGGAGTCTGCTTTCAGGAAGCTTACGTGTAACGTATTGCCAAGCGGATATAAGAAACCGTCTGCAATCAGCTGGAACGAAGCCCCTGATTGCAGAAAGCCCATTGAAATCACACCGTCATAGAGCTTTTTAGCTTGCAGATGTTATCAGAACTCTGGGTGCGTGATTGAGGATTTCCCTGCGGATAGCTGCTGACGACGCCACGGCAGCCAGTCCTTCGACTGTCCGAGGGCTCTATATTAATCTTTGCCAGGACATTAGTGCTTTCACCAATGACATATTCGCGATGGAACCCCATCCATATCTTTAAATCTGTGGTGGAAGTTTCTGTGTTCATTCTTGATACCTGCGATAGCCGAAGTTTTGTCATAGGGTGGTTGGTAACTAAAGAAATAGCTTGTTGTCAACATGTCAATATCTCACATTAAACTGATAGCCAACCGCTGTCGGTAGGATTTGATCCCCAGTTATGTAGTATGTCAATGCTAGAGTGAGCATCATATGTCTGAAGCTTCATCGCCCAACTCCCCTTCGACAACGACGCGTAGTCTTGATTTTACGTGTAAGCAAGTTTCACCTTCAAGGCGGGTTCACTATGATCCATAAATCTTGGCGCATAGCATTTCTTCAAATTGAAGATGAAAAAAAAGAAATGCCTTCACATACTGACGGAAACAACAGCCACCCAAGATGAAAACCAAAACAGTACGTATTTGCAGTTGATGGGATATCCCGTCGGGTGTTCTTCATTCATAAGCTGGATGCCGAAGACGGGGTTTATGGATCCTCGCTAACAATAGACGTTCCAGGAGGCGGTCCGCGGGAGGTCCCTGTAATTACTTGGCTTGTCGCATGAACCCGCCTATGGGTAGCCTCTACCACTCCACCACTATATTCAGGCCACGTCCCGTTAAGGTTTTACATCATCGCCCTGATCCAAATTGGCGGGCCCCGTCAACGTGCCTCTGCACCTTCCGTCCCTTTTGACGACACAAACGGCCATTTGGCCCAAAGTCCATCGCAGGACGCGCATGCTTTGCCAAGAAATTCGGAAGACTTCTCTTGGAAAGGCCTGGAACCTGTGTCGACCCCGACATCTGCTCAAAGCAGGTCGACGTCCGTGTGTGTCTTTGGGACCATTGATGAGAAAGCGTGGATTCTGGAAACAGCCACCGTTCTTAGTACCAAGTTCCTCCGTGACACCTTCGTGACACCTCCGCGTGACAACGCGTGAGATCCCGTTGCTCCAGCCTGAAATACGACATCAACTCACGGATGGCTAGACGCTACCTTCTCTCGAAACAATGGAGGGTAAGCACATCCGCCAAAACTATCTCACGTGGCATCTAGCTAATCTCATGCCTTCATCGATGGTCAGGCCTACCAGGCAACTAGCAGAGCCCATACGCGGACCCGCTTCATCGTCGTGGAGCAACAAGGTCCGACGTACGGCTCCTCTTACGATAAGCAACGGCACGAAAAGGGTGAACCTGAAGACTCACCCCATGGCTGGAAACCTACCTTCTGGAGGGTCGTCGAGGGCAGCGCGACGGCCTTTGGCTCCATCGCGGTCCTCGGTCTGGCTGGCTACTCCTATCACGCCTACTACAAGGACCTTGTCCTGCGAAAGATGGACAATGCTTTTGGCGTTGGTTTCTCGACACCAGAGCTGACAGCTCTAGGACGCCACGTGGCTCCTCATAAGCTCCATACTATTGATGACTTCACGGGCTTGGAGGGTGAGAACGAATGGATCCCTCGGGCTGAGCAGGAACACATTGACGGCATCATTGACGGGACCATCCGAGGTCAGTATCACTTAATCACGGGAGAGAAGGGTACGGGGAAGAGCTCAATGATCCTCAAGGCGATGCGCAGGGTCAACGGCTCGGGGATCGCCATGCTCGAAGCCCATAGCGATCTCGAAGTCTTCCGTCTCCGCCTGGGCAAAGCTCTCGACTTTGAGTTCCACGAGGACTATATCGGAAGCTTGTTCAGCTTCAAGGGCCCTCGCGATTCGACCGCCATCCTGGACATTGAAAGAGCCTTCAACAAGATGGAAAAAGTGGCTCTGATGCGGCAGAGACACATCCGGAAGCCGCTCGTCTTGATCATTAATCGCGTCCACGTACTCCGAGACGACGACGACGGACGCGAGCTGCTGGAGTTGATCCAACAGCGGGCGGAGATGTGGGCGGCAAGTCGCCTCGTCACTGTGGTGTTCACCAGTGACGACCACAGTACCACTGAGCACCTCAAATGGCAGGCCACGCGTATATCCGTGACAGATGTCCGCGATGTGCCCCGCGATCCTGCTGTTGAAGCACTTCACGAATTCCGGCAAAAGGTCTTCAAGGAGGATGTGTCCAGCGATATCTTGAACCAAGTCTACAAGTTGGTTGGCGGGCGCGTCAGGTTCCTTGACCACGTTGCGAGATCAAAAGACATGCTCGCGGCCTGTAAGTTCATTTGTGACAGGGAAAAACGCTGGCTCCTAGGCCAGTGCTGGATGTTGGGCGCCGACATGGATCCCGATGCCGAGGATCAACAAGACCACGCCACCACGGCGTTCTTACTGGCCAAGGCGTTGATTGAGAAGGAGAAGGATATGAAGCCAGAAGAGCTCCTGGCCGGAAAGCTGCCGGAGATGCCTCTCCACGAGGCAAGACATCTCATGACGAGATTCGACTTTATCCAGAAGCATGACCACTTCAACATCTTCTCAATCGATTCCAATTCTATGGTTCGGGCGGACTCTGTGCCGATGCACAACGCCTTCAAGGAGATATGCGCGCAGGAAGGATTCGATGAGCTTCTTGAAGCCAGCTTAGAGAGACTCGATGAGTTGGAGGGTCTTCAGAGGACAAGAGAGATTGTGATGAAGGATTTGGCGAATGAGGGCCAGTTCCAGGCAATGGTTCGCCAGGTCAAAGCGGGAGGAGATGGCTTGACGTTCACCGTCAAGGCTGCATCACCCAAAGAGTAGGTTTATCGGAGGATCTTGACAGAGGCTAGGGTCGCACAGCGTGACGGTGTAAACAAATCTGCATGAACGAGCATACCTAGCCACTGGTCTTACTGAGCCGCCGGAAGTAGGTAGCCTGTCCGGCCTGTCTCACAAATATCTATAGGGCTGTGCGTTTAGATTGAATGACTGCGCTGTGGGCGCCATTAGATATTGAAGATTGCCTAATAGGTCGGAGCACTCCATGTCGATGGGGTTAAGTGAGATTTCTCGTCATCGTTTGGTGCAGCCTCGCTTCCAACAGGCTCGAGCCTGTGGAGGACATGATGTTTGTATTTCCTCTTGCCAAGGGTCTCGAAAATTCGATGTGACAGCCGAAACACTTCGCTCACAACCGAACTAAAGTGTATCTTTGTTTGTTTGTGTTCGTCCAATGTTTTGTGGACTTATATCATTCCAGAAAAGAATCTCGAAACTACCACTGCGGGCATCGGAGAAATTAAGCAGGACAAACCACGCGGGGGTTGGAAGCCGGAAGCGGGAAAGTCAACGGCGGCCGAGACCGGGCCGTGTGGGAAGTGGATCATTTAGGGTTTCTATTCATCGGATCAAAGCAAACATGTGTTAAGAGGGGCCCGGCGTTTCGGAGAGATGAGGTGCAACGACGTTGACGAAAGGAATGCGAGCCAGAAGTTTGGATGCCGGAAGGGGAGTGTAGTAGAACACTGGAACTTTCCCTGCCTGCTTCGGATAGGGAACCCGGCAATTGTAAGATGGTCTCGCTCAACGCCGAACGGTGTAGAAGATGGCGATGAGTGAGATTTGACGTTGAACAAAGTTGGATGATGAGGAGCTACGGATGCACGCGAGAACTACTGTGGATGAGCACTAGGACCAATGCACCCCGGATTCTGGAATGACGCTGCCATGCGACGGGAGTCTAGTGGGCCGCACCAGAGGCGTTTGATGACGGGGTGATGGACCGATGGGCTTCAGTCCAAATGGTCCATGGAGGAGCGAGCGATCATGACTTTACGCTACCTTGGTCTGAGCTGGAGTGCATGAACTCTGGGGATCTTACTGGTGAGGTTGGGGGAATTGGATTGGTTGATGTGTATGTTTGTAAGATGCGGCATGAGGTCACTCTATGGGATGACAGCCGCGGGTTGCTCTGCGGAGTGAGCAGAGTGAGGGGAAAGCGCGAAAAGTGAGGGAGGAGAAAGCGAGCCATCGGGGTGAAGTGGTAAGGTGAGTGGATGGTGCTGGATGTTGACGAGGGGTGATGCATGTCGGATGACGTCGTCACGATGGTGGGGAGCCCTCTAGAGTCACGGAAAGTAGGTAAAATGCGAGGGGGCAAGTCAGACAAGAGAGTGTCTTCATTAGTTCATTAGCGGAATGAGTTTGGAGGTTGGGAGATGAGGGGAAAAGTTTCGAGTTACTTGGTTTCCATTATCACCATAGCATGAGTCGCAGAAGAAACGATTGTTGAGTAATTACGTCTTACCTTTGGTACAAGTGAGCTGAAATGAATAATATGGCTCAGCTCAGGATCCCGGAGTGAGAGGCTGAAGTGAATTACACGACGTGTGTAAGTGAGAGTGAGAGTGAGAGTTAGATGCAATTGAGATCTGGAAATAGGAACGACACCGGGGCGGTGCACGACACAGCACGAGGCAGCAGCAACGGGAAGCCGCTCATCGCCTCTTCCTTCCGTGTCTCTGGCACGCTGCTGCTTCCAATGCGCGCAATGAGAGTTGCACCTGCCTGCGGCCGATCGCGATTCCTCGCTAAGACCAGCTGCACGTCGAGTATCAACCAACGGCGAAGCAGTGACCCAAGGGTCGGGGTCCACACCTGCACCTGCCACTTCCAGATGGAGACGATGGAGAACCTGGAAGGATTCGAACCTCAGGAATGAATCAGGGCACAAGGTACCTACCTTCGTACAATGGAAGGGCACATCCCAATGGATACCTCAGGGCGAAGATGGGTGCCTTATCGATTCGAGAGTACTCGGCACCTTACCTTTGGCGGCCAGAGCTCCGGCATTTGCACCACTCGCCTTTTCCTGACGCATGGCGGCCTTTTCCTCTCTGCGGCTCCCAGCCCAAACACGCCCGAGCAAGCCCAACCTCGCAATAGGCTAATGTAGTCGACACAAGCTTGAAGATACAGGTCAGTATGGTACCGTAGATAGATGGGTACGTCGTGAGAAGCACACTCGCAGCGCAGGTCTGATGTGTCTTACATTCCCTGCCTTACCTGGCTGTGCCTTGCCTTGGTCGCTTAGGCGTAGAAGACGCTCGAAGCGAACTACGGCTGCAGTGGCACCCGACGTCAATGATCCATCATCACCTTGTCGGAAGCGACAGACGCGGAAGACGCGGCCCTTTGGTACGTGAGCCGGTGAGAGGCCCCCAAAAGCGACTCGAGTGAATCGTTAGTGAGTGGGACGAGGGGACAGCGACCCCGAAAAAGGTAACTTAGACTCGTACATAGAGTTCTTTTCCAAGGCCAGCCCAGCCTCTCTCTCATCCCCGCATGCCGCAACTCAGATAGGTACTTTACACACCACTTCACTCACACGAGCAAAAGTAACTAGTGCCAGGCATCTACCGGTATAGTCAAAGTACCTCAACCAAGTATCCGTACCTGTCCTGTGCTATCTTTCACCACCTATGTACCCAAGGTACTACGTGTGTCTGCACTCCTGCAGGCAAGCCGGAATGAAATAGTCTGAAGATGTAACCTCAGCTGTGAAGATGGAGGCATTGTTGCTGTGTAGTCGAGAATAGAGCCCGAGGTGACAGAGTCACAGAGTGAACCCACAAAACCTTGCTCATGAGCTACCTACCTGATGCTGCATCTGCCATTTGGGGGGGGGGGGGGGCTTCCGAGTCCAGACTTCTCTTCCATGTGCCAATAAGGGAGTGAGGGGTGAGAGAGAGCTGCATCTGCCATTGCCTGTGGCCCGGTGGTATAAGACAAGATGGCAACCTTCAAAAGGCAGCACATCTGGCTGCATCTGCTCACCTGCCCCCCTCACCGCCGTCATTTGCCCAACATTCCACTTCCTGACGGCAACAAAGTCCCTCAGTACGCCTCTACCTATCTGCTCATCATCTTTGCTTGTCCTAGGCTCCTTTTCTTGCCGAATCTTCTTCAACCCTGATCGTCCCGACAACCTCTACACATTCTTCGACACATCCCGACAATCTTCGTCCTAATCCAACAATCTCCCTGTTTCACAAACATCACGAGCCCCCTCTATCATCCAACCCCCCAAAAAAGAAAAGAAAGGGGGACTTCCCAAGTTCCCTACTCTCTACGGTTACCCAGCCCTGCTAGCTCCCAAGCACAGCTCAGCCCACCCCTGGTCGGCGCATCCGCACAAGCACCCGCACCCTGCAGGTCACGAACCACCACCCCTCGTCATCCTCAGGACCCAGCTGCAAGCCTGAGCCTGCACGCAACACGCAGCAAACAAAACCACCGCCTTTCGTCACCAGATTTCCTAAACCCCGCTATCTTACCCTCTACCCACCTCACCTAATACCAACCCAGCCAAACTGATCCAAACCCCAACTAAAACCCAACGACCTGACCGACACATATCACGAGACTGCGTATCACGACCATTTACCTCTGCTTCACCAAATTCCAGCTCTTCGCACACACTACCTTAGCTTAGTCCGTCGTTGTTGCTTAAACCTTCAAAATGGCCGCCATCGTCGAACGCAGCCCACCTACGCATTCCCCTCCCGGCCCCCATCCCAAGAGACCCAGAGGTGAGTAATACTTTTGCGAGGCGCCGGTCGTCCGAGACCTCAACGCCAGCTGGTCTTGAACAAAAAGCTCGCAATTACTGACCACCACCCATCGCAGGCATTCTCAAGAACTCGTACCAAAAGTCGCCCCCAACATCACCCGGTGAAGCCGACCTCACCGAGAAGGAGCTCACTCTCGTCAACACCCAATACAACGCTGGCCACCGCCGCTCTTCTTCCGCAGCCCGCCCTTCAGGTTCCCGCCGCCAATCCAGCCGAACCCCCTCCCAACAGGGCGACGACGAGCAAGATCTCGAATCGTCCCAGCGCCTCAAGTGGGACGAGGCCAACCTTTACTTGACCGAGCAAGAGCGCTCGTCGACTATGAAGATTGACGAGCCCAAGACTCCCTATGCGAAGCACTACGATCCCACCGAAGACCCCTCGGACGACGAGGAAATGTCGGAAGACCCCAACGTTGAGAGGAAGCCTCGCACGGCTCGTGCTGGTCCTGGCGTGGAAGATGATATCCCTATCATGTCGCTTGGCGAGCCGGAAGAGGCGGTCCCGGAAAGCGAGTCGTCCAAGGAAAAAGCCCTCAAGGCCGTCCACGTCGACGACAGCGCCAGCGCTCACGGCGACGATGATGAGCTGGCCGGCCTTTCGCCCGAGGAACGGGAGAAGCACCGTCGTTTTGAGGAGTTGCGCAAGAAGCACTACGAAATGAAGGATGTGGCCCACTTGTTGGGCCACCCCGAAGAACTGGAGGAGGAAGACGACGAGGAGCGTTCCGCCCGCGGGCCGCCTCCCGTCCCTGCTCTTCCCAGGCCTAGCGAGGCTACCAACGGCCGGGCCTGAGCCTCAGTCTAAGTCTGAGCTTGGGTGGCGGCGGGTATCACTGGCTGAGTTCAACTTTAGCCGGCACGCCGTCCCGAGGAGGATTACACGGGAGACGCATTACGAGCATTTTCACGCACTGTTGACGCTTTTTGGGGTTGAGATGGAGATTAGCATCCGGCAACGGCGTGGCACACGAAGGAGTTCTGGGTGGATATCACGGATGGGAATTTTAGCGGCGTTCCGGGGCCTTCGTGTCTGTAATCGTCGCGTTTCGCAGTCACTGCAGCAGCCTGCTTCCTTTTCATCGTCGGCACCTTTGCCGCCGTCAGAGAGGGGGAGAAGTATTTCAGCACGACTAAGTAGGCTTTTTGCTTCGGCCAGAACCTGGCATTTTCAATAGAGTCTGAAATGTCCTATCAAGCTCTGTTTATCTCGTCGTATCCATCAATCTTGTGGCTCATGTGAAAAGAAGTCCAAAGCCCCAAAATGAAAACAACTTTGGTGTTTACGTATGCGCCATGCAATGCCTATCCATTTTGCTGCCCATCCAACTCATTCCTCACAAAAGACCCTTGCGCGCCAACTCAATCTTCCTCGCCGCCTCGCCTGCAGCAAAGCCGCCTCTCGAAACGCAGATCCGGTTGCCGTCTGTGAGCTCGAACTTGTCCTGGTTCGCGGGCCAGGGGCAAGGGCAGTGGTGGGGGAAGTGGACGCAGGCGAGGGTGTCGGGGCAGAGGTAGTGTTCGCAGTAGGCTACAAAAATTAGTGATCATGTGCTTGCAAAAGCTGCGAAGATATGAAGGAGGTATCTTACAGCCATCATATCGTTGCTGGTATTGTGACGGGTCACTTGGGACATTTTGCGGCTGTTGTTGCTGTTGCTGGCCGCCGAACATCTGGTCAAAGAAGCCAAACTGGGCCTGGGCCGAGCTGATCAAGGTCAGGAGGACCAGCGGGAGGGAGGCGAAGAAGCGCATCTCGTCGGTCTTTTGGTATCAGGCGAATATGAAAGAAAGGCGAGAAGATTTCCCTTGCTTTACCCTTGTTGCTCCTTTCGTAGTGTTCGCTCGAGGTGTTCGTCGTCTTGCTCAATGTGGCACTCTACTGTAGGTATGCGCCAGTGCACCTACGGATAGCTGTCCAAAAGACCACCTTGGACCCACCCCCAAAATCCTTATCGCTATCGCAGACCGCTGACTCAGCCGGAAAAATACTCTCAGCCCATCTCCCGTTCCTTGATGCACGCAAAGCTTCAATTGGCGAGAACGCAATACCGAATTGAGGAGCCAGTAACGACATATGGGCAACTCGTCCACGAAGCACACCTGATGCGTCTATTTCAATTGCAGCGGCCCCTGATGGCCGCTGCCGCCGGTCTTCTGCGGACGACCGCACCGATCCAGTCCACGGCCTCAACCGCCGCGCAGCTGCTCCGCGCCGATGCCGCCAATGCCCTCGTGGCCGGACGAAGATACGCCTCCGTCAAGTCGCAGGGTGCCTACAAGCTTGCACCCAAAAGGACGATACCGAAGAAGCTGGGAGCGAAGCGCACTGGTGGTACGTCTGTTCCATCTCCCTCATATGTCTCGAATTGGATTCAGTGGAGAGCTCCATATTCGTCACCAGAACGGCCGGTCAAGAGCTCGATACTAACAGCTTGCAGACCAGTATGTCATCCCCGGCAACATCATCTACAAGCAGCGCGGCTCCCTCTGGTGGCCCGGCGAGAACTGCATCATGGGCCGCGACCACACGATCCACGCCATGGCCGCGGGCTACGTCAAATACTACCGCGATCCCGCGCGCCACCCGGACCGGAAATACATTGGCGTCGTCTTCAACAAGGACGACGTTCTCCCCTACCCGACGCACGCCGAACGCAAGCGCAAGCTGAACATGTCGGCGCACACCATTGCCAAGCCTGTCGAGACGCCCGCCATCTCGGCCTCTGGCATCCCCACGCAGGTTGTGCGGCCCGCGCCCCGGACGGCCAAGGGTGCGCCCACGCAGCCGGCCAGAATCCTGAAGCTGCGGGACGACTACTCGTACCGCGAGGACAACTGGCGCATCGGACGGCTGGTCAAGATGAACATTGGCGGCATGAGCCGCAAGGCCAAGCTGAGGCAGAAGAGATACGCCAAGGAGCGAAACTTGTCGGGACAGAGGGCAGCGCAGGCCAAGTTTGCCGAGATGGAGGTGGACGAGTGGACGATTGCGGCGTCCAAGAGGCTATCGGAGCAGAAGAACGCCGCCGTGTTGGCCAAGCAGAAGAAGCAGAAGCAGAAGGCGCAGAAGGTGGCGGCCAAGGCTGCCAAGTCGCAGAAGAAGCGGTAATCGATCAACTATGTCTTGCTTGCTTGGGGGCATGGGTGAGAAATACGTGTGAGAGTAGGCGAATTGGGATGATTTGTGTCATGGCTACCGAGGCGTAAATGTCATGGGGGTCATCTTGAGTGTAGAATATCTTGTACAAATCCATACTAGCATCCACGATTTGGTGTCATACTCTCTGACTTTGACTGCTACTACAGTGCTGCTAGGATCCACAGTTTCCTATCAACCCTGGCTAAGGTCTTCGACATGGAGAGATTGAGAAATTCAAAATCGAAACCTCGACAACTTGAGTTGCCTTACCTGAACGGCAGGTCTGCTTTGTTGCAAAGGGGGCTCTTTGGGGCAGCCGTAGGCACTTGCTTCTTCAATGACTTCCCGTCGAGGTCGCGTGTGGGGGAGGAACTCGCCGAATTGCAATGTACTGAACCACCAATTTTGGGGGAAGGAGTACCTGAACCTTTGGCCTGCGCCCCCAGCAGTCGCGTGTCCCGTCGCGTCTCTTCCAACGTCCATCTTCAATCTTCATCCAACCTGCTCTTTACTCTTTCATTGCTCTTCACGATCAGGCGCCCAGACGCCTGAATGCGAAGCAGTTGAAGGCTATAGGATCCGGACTCGACCCCTGCAGCAGCATCTCCAATCTAGAAGTGCGCGTGCAGCTGCATGAGGTGGGCAGCAACCTCGTCTCTCAAGTCAAAGGAATAGAACAATGGCATCCAACGCTCAGGCCGCACAACCATCGGGGCTCTCACATTCATTCAAGCACACCTCGTCACCGGCCAATACGACCTCGACAACCCAGGCAAACAATGCCACCCGCACAGTGTCGCCTTCTTCAGCCTCCGGCAGTGGGGACACTTCAGGCAGGAAGATGAAGAGGACCGGAGCATCGAAACCGCTCATGAGACCGAGTCTTTACGGAGGACAGGCACCACCTTGGGCGGCTTCCTTACTGGGCGGGAAGCCATTTACGGGGTCTGCTCCATCACCTTCTACCCCTGCCCAAGCTTCTGCGCCTCTCCCAGCTCAAGCTCAAGCTCAAGCTCAAGCTCAGGCTGAAAGCAAAATCAACACACCAGAGCTGAAATCCGCTCAACCAAGTTCGGGCACTGAAGATTCTGACGACAGTGACAGCACGAGGTCAGGCAGCCCGGAACCAGCTCGCATCGTGAGCGACATTGCTCAGCCCGATCCTGAAGATCCATTACCAGTCAAGCTCGAAGCGGTACTTTCGGAAGGTGGTTCAGAGTCAGACATGGCGCGCGAGAAGAAGAGTCTTGCGCAGCATTCCAAGATTCAGGCTCTGCAAGATTCATGGGCCTCTAGTAACGCATCTGGAGGTCAATCGGGTTCTGCTGGACAGTCGGCGAACGCAAAGGACTGGCTTGGTGGTGAGTTGACTTGCTCCTTCCAGCTCTTGCCAGATTGGGTCTCACAAGCATACTCTATTTGAGCGCCCTTCTTGACGGCGCTTCATGGAGGAAGTCATTAGAGATTGCCACTTGCTGACACGTCTACAGGATCTGCATTCGAAGCATCGTCCAAGAGAAAGCATCCTCTGATTGAGAATCTGGCTGGGGGTGATGCTAAGCGGCAGGCAACGGATACTGGTCTTAAGGGCCCATCGACTAGGAAATCGCCCGAAGAAGGAACAAGTTCAACTGCCACGGAGCAAGACTTACTGAACGTCCTCGGGCTCGGACAACCCGGTTCCAGGCCAGACATCCTGAAAAGTACCGAAGGCGCCTCATCATCGACAGGAGCAACGCATGAAGCCCAAGTCATCGAATCCTCGGACGAGGATATGGACTACGAGGATCAAGCAGATGCTGATGATATGACGGACGAAGACGAAGACGAAGGCGGAGAGACTGAAGGAGACCTGGAGATCAACACTACAGGCACGCCATCTGCAAAAGCCGCCCTCGTAAGAGAAGTGCCTTCTAACCTAAAAGACTGTAACTGACAGGGATACAGCCGCCATCTCAAGGCACCGATCAAGAGTTCACATTCACGAAAAGCCCGCATCCTCGCGGGTATCTGCAATGGAGAACGCCTCAGGGCATAGAATCCACCTGCGGCGCCATCATACCTACGAATTACAAATTTCACTCTGACCCAAAAAACCCCTACATCTGTCCAGTCCGCAACTGTCGCGTCATTTTTCCAAAGTGGAACGGGCTTGGAGCGCACTTCTGCGTAAGTCTTCTCTTCGATTGATCCCAGAGTCCTGTGACACTGACAACATACAGGCAAAGCATCGTAGCTCCAAGTTCAACGACAACCTCGACGGGACCCTGTCATTCGTGGACTACTATAAGAGGGCAGGCACCAAGTACGCGGCCCCTATCGTGGTCTCCCAGAATCCCCTCCGAGGCGACGAGCCACCCTTGGCGGAGCCAGTGACTGCAGGCTATAAGCCGGTGTCGGCCCCGGCCACTGCTCCGAACCCTGTTCCGTGGGGCCCGACTTCGAAGCCTGTGAACCCAGCCCCGTCCCGGGCCATCCCCAAGTCATACTTGAAGAACGATATGACGGTTATCAAACCACCTTCAGTGGCTCCACCTCTAAGTCAAAGCGTTTCTGCCTCGAATGGCTCGCTCCTTGCGTATTTTTCTGGCTGCCTTTCGCCCGCTTACAAGATACCGGTAGAAAGACCGGACGTGAAGGCGCTGCTGAAACTCCCCCAACGGCGTCCATTACCTCAGACGTGGAAGTTGAAGTACGGTGGCATCGGACACCTGCCACCCCTCGCAACAGTTGCGCTTCTGATATTCCTTACTGGCGATGTTGCGACGCCATGTTGCCACTTTTGTTACAAGCACAATGATCCCTTTGAGAACTTTCTGCAGCCATGCGTCGTCATGTCTGCCGCAGCTCCTGGGTTCTTAAAGGAGATTGGAAACAAGGCCTGCTCTGGATGTCAGTGGCGGTCTAACTTCCGCAGAGAAAGGAACAATTGCTCCTTCTTGTCCTCGGGCCAGGGAACATCAAGCCCACAAGTGACCCCGATAGCACCCCCTACACGATCTACGGTCGCAACCCGCTCCGCATCTGCGACAACGGCTGCTGAAGCTTATGCCCTGCCATATCCTCCAGCATCTCAACCACCTCCCAAAACCTCAACTCCGGTGTCTACCTCTTCCCTGCCGCCATCCACGCAACCGGCGCCGAGCGTCCACAAAGTCGATAGCCACCCACCTGAAAGCCCGCCAAGACGCACCACGAGGCACTCAGCGGCTATCGCAAAGCCTCTTGCCGATTCTAGAATATCGACGCCCGTCGGACATGCCTCCTCACTCAGCGGCAACGCCATGCCACCAAATACTCTGGAAATGGAAGACTGGGAAATTGCTCCAGGGCGGATTCGTGATGAACGCAGCGAATCCCCTACAAGTACGTCTTGTACCGTCCATATGATGCTATACTGCGATGCTAATCTTGTCCCAGATGTAGCCTTCTCCAACTCCTATCTCACGAGCAATCAAGCTGTGACGGTCTCTGAGGAGATATCCTTCAACGTTATCGTCATCAAGCCCGGAGAGTCGCATGAATGGGCTGCCGAACCAGAGAAAGTCCGAATCTGCTCCTTGGCTGCGGGTAAACTTAAGGTGAAACTCGAGAATACGGAGCCATTTTCGATGGGCCCGAACGGAATGTTCAAGATGAAGCCCGGTACAACGTGCACTGTTTTGAACCGGCTATATATCGACGCGGTGGTGCATGTCACCACTGTTTCGTCCTTTTAGAGCGGATACTTCTTAGGGTTTGAGCGTGGATTAGGAGGCGTTAGGAGTCAGAGGCCCGTATACCTTGCCCAGTCTTTAAATGACGATACGGTTGAGGCCTTACGCATCGCAAGCCACTTGCTTGGACTCTTCTTGCTGAGCTTTAGCAGGTAGCTTCCCATCATTAAACGTATTGCAATACTTTTTTGAGACCTTGACGACCTTTTCGTACTAGCATTATCAGGACGGATCTATCTCATTGCCGTGTTATCTTCTTGGCGGTCCTCTGGTTCGTCACATTACACCTTGGCCACCTTTTCACCAAGACCTTTCTCATGGTTCACCACCTCGCCGCTTTGGGGCATGTCGATAGCCTCGATGACCTGCCCCTCGCCTTCCAGCTCTTCGGGCCTGACATAGTCCTTCGGCTCGACCCATCCCTCTTCCATGATCGGAGGTGGCCAAATCCTGCAGGAAACCCAAAAGGTGAAGCCGGACAGGAACAGTCCGACCCAATACGCAAAGAAGTAGAACCTCGTGACGCCAACGGGGGCTGAAACACCCATGTTGTTGAGGAAGCCGTAAAAGTTGGGGATGATGCCAACAATATAGGCGACATAGGCACGGATGTTCCAGCCGTGGAAGTAGTGGTAAGCCCCTGGCTTCATTGACGTGAAGCAATCTGGTATGCTGATGCGACCGCGGCCGATGATGTAGTAGTTTACCAGCAAGACGCCCGTAATGGCTGAGAGGAAGATTTGGTAAGAGGAGAGGAAGGATACGAAGACGGAGGCAGAGCCCTAGTGCTCATTAGCAATCATTCTCACACTCGAGCAGGTTGGAGTAGGACTTACCAGCAAGAACCAAGGGTTGATGGCGAACGAAATGACGGCACAGACAAAGAAGCCCCTCCGAACTGTGAGGTACTTGGGGAACAACGCCGCAATGTCGTTACCAGCCGGCAAGGAGTTCTCAAAGATGGAGCTGAAGATGCAGCAGTATGCGAAGCAGCCGGCGATGAAAAAGCACCCGGCTCGGTTGGCTGCCGTGTACTCGGCCGTCTGGAGGCTATCCAGCAGCGTCACGGGGTTCCAGATCAACTCGCCAAAGATCAACTCGCTAGAGGCGCAGACGAGGTTTCCCACCGCTGCCACGATGAAGTTGGCGACAGGGAAACAGAAAAGGTTACCGACAATAACATCGTTCTTCTTCTTTGCATACCGCTGGAAATCCGCGGCGTTACTTGCGAAGGTGGCGCAGTTGGCCGCGCCTAGCATCAGGAATTGCACGATCAGCCACGCCCTCTTTGATCCCGTCGCCGTACCGCCCTGGCGTACTACAGGGCCGAGGCCACCTGCCTTGGTGGCCGTCCACGCAAGCATAGCTACGGCGGATATGATGAAGACGCACAGCTTCGCGTAGACGAGCCCGCGCATCTTTGGGACAGGGATGACGAGGAACGCGCAGGTGATGAGCCAGAAGATGACGAAGCCAATCATCCCCGCTGTCGTGAGCGCCGAGCCCTCGCCCATGGTGTTTGGGATGTTTGCGATACCCGGGATGATGGCGTGGAGCATCACGTAGATGCACTGTCCCCCCTGCACGGCATTAACACCGTTCCAGACGATAGCCATGACGGCGCGGTTAAAGGTTGGCCACCACGCGCCGTAGATGCCAAAGGCAGCACGGCAGACGACGGGGTATCCCACGTGATAGCAGCTGCCCGGCCGGCCATTGAGGGTGATGATGGCGGCGATGAGGCATTGTCCACCGAAAGCGCAGGCGAGGGACTCCCACATGGAGAGGCCGAGGGCCTGAGCGGTGGAGGAGGCGTACCAGTTGGACACTGTCGCGGTGGCGGAGAACCAGAACGTGAAATAGGTCCATTGGGTCCAGGTGCGGTCGGCGAGCTTGAGGGGGCGGAGGTCGTCGTTGTTGAGGAGGGCGTCGCGGCCGTGAATGTCCGAGGTACCGGCGGCGGCGGGGACGCGGAGGCGGTTGAGGAGGCCCATCTTGTGTATGCGGCTTGCCGGTGTCGGCAGACTTGGCTCCGAGGGTGGGCTTGCGATCAGAGATTCTCGAGTCTTGATGCTAGTCTCTAGAAACTCAGCTGTAATGATCACTGTTGAAGAAGCAATGCCCGCCCACCCGTACAAGTTGCTTGAATAGCAAACGGGAGATATCCGGAGGAGCTCAACGTTACCATGACGGAGACTTATACCAAATCACACCCGACAGAATGGTAATAATATCGGCTACGGAGTCGCGATCGGCTGCTGCGTGCTGATAGCCATGATACTCTTCAAGATACCGGGGTCGTGCGGTTCATGTGGGGGAGATAAGCACTGCAGGGATGCTGACGAGTCTCAATAGTCGACACATTGTGCAACCTTTCACAGAAGAGATTTGTGCACTGCTGTATGGAGTCTCGCCAGTGTATGGAGTGGATATAATCCTGGTTGAAGATATTCTACTGTTGGAAAGATGACAGCGAAGTGAACTCAAGCATCACCAAGACCTCTCAGTTGATGCCAAGTATCTTGGTAGATCGGCATCATATAAGTATTAGAGTCGACCGGAGAAAACAGAAGCCCCCGGGAAGCAAAGGACCCTTGGTGGCTCCGAAGACGGGGATCAACCCCGTACCCCACACGGTCCGTTGTCGGCGCATTTGTCCCGAGAGCGATAAGCGGCCGTGCTGGGCGGATTTGCAGATTGTCTCCAGCGAACCGCGTCGCACGCCATTATCTTTGGCTATCGTGTCATTCGCCGTCGTTCAAATCTCAGACGATTTCCGGCTAAGACCGGCGGAACACATTCCAACTACCCGACAGCGAGTGATCCGTTCGATTTGAGCACGCTGTTCATCCGGAGGCTTTAATCGGAGTTGACACATCTAATTCGTGTGCAGTGAAACCTATCTTAAGTGTTGATCTCAAGAAAGAGACAATTTCGCGTAATTCAAAAGGGGATCATTTGCCTTTACTCTGAAGCTTGCCGACCACTATTTTGTTCAACATAGATCAAGAACAAGATAGCTCAACTCAACAACCCGACGACTGGACTAATCTCACTCTCACAACCCGCAACCATGACTACCACGGTGACTGAGACCGCTCCAGAGAGCTACAAGCTCGAGCTCATGTCCGCCTACGGCCCCGTCTACCGCGACGTGCTCAAGACCCCGCCCCGAGACTGCGACGCATCCGAGGTCCCCGTCATCGACCTCTCAACCATACACGGCACCGAGGCCGAGCGCAAAGCCCTCGCCGCCACCATCCGTGACGCGGCTGAGAACACGGGCTTCTTTTACATCAAGAATCACGGAATCCCCAAGGCCACCATCGACGCGGCCTTCTCGCAGGCGCAGGCCTTTTTCTCGCAGCCGAATGAGAAGAAGGCGCTGGCGACGCAAAAGAAGAGCAAATTCTTCAACGGGTGGACTGAGAAGCGCGCTGCGCAGATCTCGCCGACGGAGACAAAGGATCATCGTGAGGGGTTCAGTTTTCGGTATGATCCGCGGTATGACCCCGAGACCAAGGATCCGGATGCCGTCCCAGAGGAGGTGAAGCCATGGATGAAGCATGAGGACTTTGTGTGGGAGGGTACGAGCCATCTGCCCGGGTTCAAGGACGATATGATTACCTACTGGCAGGGCTGTTTGACGCTTGCGAGGAGCTTGATCAGGGCTTTCGCATTGGCGTTGGATGTTCCTGAGAACTATTTTGACGATGTTATTACATATCCCGGAAGGTACGTGATGATATCTTTGACGAGGTCGTGAGCATAGACTGACAACCTTACAGTGATAGCGTCTGCAACTATTACCCCAAGAACACTGAAGCGCAAGACGCCACGATCGACGTTGGCCTGGGCGCTCACACTGACCTGCAGTGCTTCACCCTCCTCTGGCAGGACAGTGTGGGCGGGTTGCAGGTACTCACAAAAGACGGGCAGTGGATCAAGGTGCCGCCAGTTCCCGGCACCTTTGTCATCAACATTGGCGACTTTTTGCAGCGGTTGTCCAACGATAGATTCAAGTCAACGGTCCATCGGGTCTTCAACTACGCCCCCGAGGACCGGTACTCTATGCCCTTTTTCTTTGGGTTTAATCATAATGAACAGTGTTCTGTGCTTCCTACTTGCACGGATGAGAAGAATCCGCCCAAATATGAGCCGATCAGCTGTGGTGAGGTACGTTACAAAGCCCCTCTTTGACACAATGTTAGACGCCTGAGTGGTGAGACTGACTTGGTCACAGTGGTGTCGTTTGAGGTTTGAGAGAACATATGAGTTCTCGAGGTCTAAGGACTGCAAATGATGTTGTTGAAAGGGCCATCTCAGTTGATTCATGACCTCCTTGCATTTCACTATCAATTACCTATACCAACTCTAACTCTTCAATTCTTCCCGACTTGAAACAAGATCCTACCAATTCGTCTGAGCAAGTGGTCTTATTTCGCAAATATCTGCGCCTCCCTAGTTCAAGAAGTCCTACCCGGCTGTATTTGATCACGCCACCTTGAACAGACTTGATGGGCTTGATGTGAAGGTACATCCAAGTAGTATCTTCGCCTTCACCCGCTCTGAGTACTAGAGCAAATATGGCCTCAGCTTCCCAAATTGAAGGAGCAAGACTTGCCGCTCTGTCAGGAAAGTCATGCAACACGGTAATCGGGAACGTTTCGTCTCTTGCTCTTTCACTCAAGTCAGTGAAAACAGCACATCTCAGACCGACAGTGATACCATCGTTGACACAAGTCAGTTCAGCGTAGTATATCGGTTTCTCCATGCTCCCCTCTCGAGGCATTCTGACCTGACTTCGGCAGTTTGCCCAGGACCACGATGGTGTTTCCTTGGCCTTCGAAGTTTTGGAGATAGGTTCACTGGAGGGATTTTCTGTATGCCATAGCAAGTCTAAGGGAAGTGACTTCCTCCATATCCCTGCAACGTAATCCTTCATTTCTTGCCCAGTCCGGCGGCTATATTGGATTGCGAGACCCATTATCGCGGGCAGCCTGTCTGATTCTTGAGTTAGGTCTAGTGTCGTGTATCTCTCAACCAGCCGGCGCCACCAGTTGCGGAGGTTCCGTGCCGCATGTTCACCCTTGTCGTCTAATGAGGCATAGTACGCCATTTTGAGCGGCATCGGCAGGAGTGCATAATTCGGATCCTCTACCCGCTTAGAGTCGTGGAAACGATAGGATCTTTGGTTAACCTGACTCATGTTGCCTTCCTCTCCCTCAAGGTTTAACTGGCCCGTCATGCCAGAGAGTCTGCCGCATTCGCATTGGGAGCCTTCGTAGCACTCCCACATGACTTCGTTTGGGGCGAAGACGACGAACCTGCGAGAAAGTAGTCTTTCTTGCATCACCCATCCTCTTGTCATCAGATCCAATTTGCTAGGCGTACGAAGACCTTTCTGCTGCATGACATGTTCCCTCCCGGCCATCTCATACTCATTCTCATGATCCGGTAGGCTTTTTCGCAGCATCAGTCTCGGGTTTTGGCGTTGAGAATTGGTAACATCGAACCCCTTGTAAACGCGTTCAGCTTCAGCAAAGCAGCCATCAGGCCCGGCCGCTGCTGCAACAGTGAGGAGTGCACCCTCATAGACAGAACACATCAACTTTGACTCTGCGTTCCAGTCTGCAACGCTATCCTGGATGATGCACAGGCTGTCGATCCAGACGTATCGAATGGGTTCTTCTTCTGGGTGGTCTTTCGCATACCATGAGGCAAAGTCTTTGATGAATATGATGGCGTCTTGGAAGTTCCGGGTAAGAGCAGACCAAGGAACATTCTTCTTTAGCGATTCGATGTTGGTGCTCACACATCGCGGCATCATGGAAGCTTCTATCCATCGGTGGCTGAGCGCGATGTAGTGGCTTCTTGTGGTGACATTTTCAACCAATCGCATATTGCCTTTGTCTGAGATATCAATCAGACGAGTTGGCATCGGGTGTATGTTGAGTCCACTGCCACAGTCCGGATGCTGCGCGACACATTCCTCGAACCACGTAAAGATCTTTTTGAAAGTATCTGGAGACCCCGTGTGGCCTACGATGGGTGGAGACTCATAGGCATGGGCTACATACACCGGCAGCGGGTTGTAAGCGTTGGGGTCAAGGACTGAGATCAAGTATCGCAGACAGGACTGCATGTAACCTTGGGCCGGTGGTAGCGTTGTTTTAAGCAGTTGCAATTTCGATAGTATATAACCGCCTCTTGGCCCTCCTTTCCTTGCGGTAAGAACAATGTTCGTTCCGTCAACGTCTGCGTCGATGTAGAACAGGGCATCTCGCATGTCATTTGAGTCTACGTTGTCGAGAACATGACTGAAGAATGAGATTGTGAAGCGGGCTATCCAGCAGCCGTGACAACGGTTTTGGTACTCTGGTTGCAGTAAGCGGCGATCGGGCTTGAATTTGGGGTCCAGTCCGGTTCGGGGGTCCGGGCCGGGTGGCATGTCAGTGGAGAAGAAGGACAGGCATATCGGGCATTCTTCCGTCTTGTAGATCCAACCAGGCAGAAGCCGCTGCCTCAGCGATGACATGGTGCAGCAATTACAAGATGGTTAGCCAGGAGGGATAATTGACAACTTGGAACTCGGGTATGGATAGGTTTGCCTGATGTGGGCTGAAAGAAAACACTCCGAAAATCAACGCAAGTCGGTTATCGGGGGCCTGATTTCAAAGAATGACTGCTGAACATGAACAATTTTTAGAATCACTACCCCGCTCGCAGACTCCATGGCTCGATGCCTGCATTACATCTGCAGAAGAGGGTGGTATCACGTGGGGCTGTGACACTGGCATTGCAGTAGTGCTGATTGGCAATCTATCCGTCTGATAGCCGGCCCATAGATGAAAATCAAAGGGGAAACGGCGTAGAGACTTGGCATTTTGCGACCAGGTGAGTTGCTGTGAAGTTGTCTCTTGTCTCAGCTTGCGTTAACTGAATCCTGATGGCTATAATGGTAACTGACTCGATATCACACCTTACTAAGTGAAGAACCGCTACAGAGGAAATGTAAACGGTGCATTCTTTAAGGAGAAAGGAATGTCTATTCTTCTCGCCCGCGATTGATTCATCAGTCATCATGGATCAAGGTATCATCAGCTCTTCCCGCTCGTAAGTCGTTTGTCTGACTCCAGCTCTCTGCCACGAGCCGATTCGGGCAGGTAGACTGAGGTCCAACTGCATCACTCGGCCAGAAGTCGAAGCTCTGTCCGAATTGAGTGCTTGGCCATAACCAACCACTGACGGTCCTCTCTCATCCCGGAACCTGCCCTCAACGCAAATATTGTTATTTTTGTTCGTGCCGTGGCAGCCTGCATTCATCGCCTTCCAGTTTGCGTGTGCTCGTATGCAATTCAACCTTGAATTTTTAGATGGGGCAATAGTTGATAGGCTTCATTGGTGGGAGTCGAGAGCAAATGGTACTCCACCGCAGATGTGTTTGCGGTTTGGGGGCTGGTGTACTGCAGGTTGTACTTGGCGACCACGGGAGGACCCGTTTGCAGTGCTTCATTGAGTTTTTCCACAACGGTCCAACACCCGTTCAACAAGAACTCGCTGTCATAAAAAGGATTGAATAGTTGCCCTGGCACCGGTAGTCTTGAGCATTGCAACTTGAAATTTTGCCCCGATTCGCCGTGCCCAAATCCATCATGTTTGGCCAAAGATACAGCCATTTCTCAGAAAGTGGGCTAGACTCTGGCCCCGAAGAAGCACCTCGTGGACGACTCTCAAGGCCAGTGTCCGCAGAAGCTGTCCCACAATTCGTCTCGAGAAATAGGCAAAGCTCAACTGACCTTGACCAAGGGCATGGTATGCGCTCAATAAAAGTTGACCAGACTGAATTACTGCTCACAACTTAACAGGAACCCTTTTGTCAAGCGACGACTTTGGTAGCGCTATGCGCCCAGCAATGGCGAGAAGAGAACAGTTCCAACCCAGACGCTCGCTTAACAACATTGAGGGGAATCCCCTGATTACAGGCCTTCCAGACAATCAGCCTTCCACAGCGAGGTCAAAATCTGGCACGCCTGCTATGAACGTATCAATCAACAGAAAGCCAGTAGCTACATCTACGTTCAACACCATCGATAGCCAAGGTTATCAAAGTTTGAAACGGGGCTATTCAAGTGATGAGCCGCCTAGAAAAGCAGAGTGTGAACCATTTCCGGCCAAGCCGCTTTGGCGAATATGGGCCTGGGAGGTGTTCTACATATTTCTCAGCATATCCTCCTTCTTTTGTACGTTTTCCAAAGTTTGGCTCTATGAGAATACCTTCGAAGACTTCGTACTAACAATTCTGACTCTAGTGATCGTTGCGGTTCTCTGCAGCTATGACCAACAACCTTTGCCAGACTGGCCGCTGCATATCACGCTCAACACCTTCCTCGCCTTCTTTACTACACTGGCAAAAGCAGCCTTCATGCTTCCTGTATCTGTCGCAATAAGCCAGACGCAATGGTCGTGGTTCCTCAAAGACCGACCTCTTCATGACCTGCAGTTGTTCGACCAGGCGAGCAGAGGGCCATGGGGCTCCGTAATGCTGTTGAAACGTATCAGATACAAACACTTCGTTTCTCTTGGTGCCCTTTTGATGATCGTTAGCGCCCTAACTTCACCGGTAACGCAACTCGCCATCAAATATCCTGTCCGAGACTCTGTGGCCCTGCACGAGGAAGCCAAAGCTGCGGCTGTACGCAACATGACGTCGGACGAAGACCGCATGAACTTAGGGGCACGCCGAGCTTTAGTGCTAGCCACTTTGTCTGACAGCACCGATTTCATGGAGCCTATCGCACCCGCAGGCGCGTTCTGCTCTACAGGTAATTGCACCTTTGATCGGTATCAGTCTCTGGGCATTTGCATGAAGACGGCGAACATCACTGAACACTTGAAAGTGGAGGAGTTCGATTCCCCAGACATGATCGACACCCTTGTCTTGGGTTTCCCAAAGCCTGATGCAAAGGTGTGGCGAGCATCTCTCCCTAGTGGCTTGGAAATGGCTCATCAAACACCATTGGCGGCCATGACTGACATGCTCAACGGGAGTGAGACCTTTGCATTCCAAGACGATGAAGATCTCAAGCAAACTAGGATATCTTCTTTTACCGTCATCTACACCAACCCGACCGAGCTGAACGAGACGTGGTATAACGGGCTCTCTGAAGTCGCCGGAGCGCCGTTTGCGTCCGACCTCATCGGCGCAATTTACAATTTTCGACATGAAGCAATGGAGGTCATGTATCATCTGTGCGTTCAAACGTTCGAGACAAGGGTTTCTATGGGTATCGAAAGAACTAC